TAGATTTTTTAAGTGATCTTGGAATCCAAAAAAAGTATGTCGAAAGAAATATCTATTATTATTCGAAAGTATAATGGAAAAGAGATTTTAATAAAAATTTATGGCCTCAAATGGATCAAATATGGGCTATCATTAATTCTTCAAGTACCTATGACTTAGTACCTGGGACATCTTAATACAACTCTTATAGCAAGTATCTTAACTTAAAAGATAGAGCCTATACCTGGTGTACTTGGTGTAATAAAACATCATAAATGAGAAGATTAGGGTACCATTGCCATTCGAACAGTTTATTGATCTTTAGCTAGAAGGCTAAAGTTTAGAAAAATGTCTAAACATTCATTTATATGATGTTATGAAGATAATTTTACTTAGTGATTTTAGTTTTACAGAGAGTCTAGAGTCAGAAACTACACTGTAGTTCTGTATTGGAGGAGTTGTAAAATTAAATTTGAAATTTCTCATCTTTGTAGATGGATTCCAAGCTTTTGTAGCCCAAATCTCATAGTAAAATTTCTTTGTAACACACAATAAAGCATAATTTTTAATTTGGAAGAGATAGAAAAAAATATCGAGTATCATAATATTTTGGAGTACTTCTACTGTTGTGTATATACTACATTGTATAGAGATGTGAAAGCATTATTCACAGAGAAGAATTGAGTGTTGCCTCTCAAAGTGGACACTTCAATTTTGCCATATGTTGTTCAAGTATTGTAAAGTATTCAATTTTAGATTATATTTATATTATTATATAAAGCAAAAAAGAACACGTGATTATATTTCTTCAATCATTTTATAAATGATTTTATAATGATTGGAAAATCTATATAAAATGTGAAATATACTTCTGATTGTATATAAAACTGCATAAACACATTATTTGCAAAAAAAATTCATTTTTTTCTATTATATTGGTCCCTCCAATTTTACCATATAATGCTCAAGTATCACAATGTATTCATTCCTCTATATTATAATATTTACTCATGCAGAAGATTTTATTCTGATTCCAAAAGTATCTACTCTTCATTTTAAATGCAATATATTTCACTTTTACAAATATCTATCAAAATAAATTTTATAAAAAATCTTATTAATTCCATTAGTTAATTAAATCCAATATTAAACCATACGACGGAAGTAAACATTTCATCTAAATATCAAATAAATCATGCAAATGTTATATTAAATTATTCATGCTCTTGAATTTTATTATTTATACGTTTTGAAGAACGAACATAATAAGTCTCTGAATCACATAGTATAGCATAATTTTTTTTACTATTAAACACAGTTTTATACATGAAGATTCACGTGTAAGGATATGGTACTAGAATTTTGCATAAATTACACTGCTAAATAAATGTTGAACTTTTATAATCATCTTACAATTTAATGCAATATTCGAATTTTCGTCTTTTCAAATTCCACTTGAATTAAAGTGGAACGAAGTATACATGAGTTAACACCGAAGCTACCACTCTTAAGTTCAATTGTTTCATGTAATTAAAGTTCTAATTATATAACTTTCACTAATCATCAATTTAAAGTTATTGTGATTGTAATTATCGTACACAATATTATTAAAACTACGAATCGGATTGATCTAAATGAAATGACACTTTTATAGACAGCAAATAAAAATTCTATATAATAAATTTAATGAAAAATGATTATTAAAAAGAAAAAAAACAATACAATGAAGTCTTTGATTGCTCACTAATTTTAAATATCAATCATTAAAAATAACTTTATTTCTACTCCATCATTCTCTTTGCTGTTTTTTCAAAATTAAATGACCCATTATTTAAATTTCAAACGAATATATTCTAAAAATTTTTGATCAATGTTCTACTTTCAAATAAAACACCAAGTTTAGCAATACATTAGAACCCTTATAAGCTGATCCGAAACACTTTATGTATGCAATTGGTTCTTCGGTCCATCTGCTTGTTGGTATGTTGCACTCAGGTATCGATTTGTTACTTTCCATGAATATTAAGTACTTGGACTCAAAGATCGTTAGTAGAGAAAAACCAATATAAATTTTTCATGACGATCGTTTTGCATACGTTCTAAATAACCTTTGCCAATGTGAGATAGTTTGATATTAAACTCCAACTGTATCTTTAAAAGTTTACTCGAAAAAAATAACTGTTTAATAACTGCAAACTTTTGATAAAATTTCACCAAAGTTCATGAATAATAAATTAATTTTTTGATCATAAATAATTCATTCTTAAGTCCATTATTATACTATTGTGGTGTGATAATAGTGATTATTTATTATATATCGTCAACGAAAATTTTATCATGATGCTGAATGAATGTATAATGAGAATTTACTTTTTGTGAGGTCACAATTAATATAAATATCACTGGTAACTATTGATATACCAACGATCAGCTGAAAGTTTCACATAACCTAGAAATAACCTATAAAATGATGAACGTTAATAGATCAAAGTTTACAACATTTACTGAAATATATAAATATATATATTGTTTACATACTAAAGTGTTTAGAATAAAAATTATTCGTGAATTTTTGGTGTGAAGAAGATTTGTGTATTCAAGTAATGTACAGTTATGAAGGTTTCAATCAAAAGAAAAGTTTGATGTATGAATATAAAGACCCGACAGCTTTAAACAATGAATATCCAAGATTTTCAAGTATACAAAGAAGTAAAATATATGTTACGAGGTTTTGTTTCCTTCCTGTTACTTTACGTATTATTTTTCTATCTTTCTTTGCACATTCATCACTCCGTTACACGAAGAGGAAAGTATTAAGTACAAAAATGAGTTACGAAGATATATCCTTTCATTTTTTTACCAACATCAATGTATATAGTTATAGATTTACGTGTATGTTGTATAGAAAAAGAGAGCCCTCCAACTTTCAGGATATATACTATCTGGATAAGAAGCACGAAATGGTGGTGGATTTTCTAAAATCATCACATCCGCTTTCTTAATAAAAAAAAGAAATAAAGAGATAGTTGTGAGATGGGAAAGAAAAAGAGGCAAAGTTTAACAGCTCGAGCTGCCGCATCCGTTCAAACATAAGAAGAAAAAGGAGAAAACTTCTTGACAACTAAAAAGTTTACTATAACTATACTGCCCTCGAGAAAATGTCTTTGAGTACTTGTATATGAGGTTTATGCATGGATTTATATAATTATCATTTTGACGACTGAAAGATTTAAGGTATGTATTTTTATTTTATTGCTTTTCCGTGGTTGTAGATGTTATGATGTGATTCCACTCCGGAATGGATTAAATATCTGTCATACATCTTGTAATACCTTCTGAGTTTTGTGTCATGGCTTGTTTCAGGTTCTACACGGACTAATGTTAGTATACCACGTGAGGACGTGACAAATTGGAGATCAAACCAAAGTACCATAACCCTATTATAAGCACGCTTTGTACGAGAATTATTGATTCAAACATTTATGTACGTTTAGAAATTACTGATGACTGAATTAATGATCTAAATTATTATGATTATGATAAATATTTTTGTACAAATGTTAAATATTGATTTGGATACGGAACACTAAACATATAACATATACTCAAATTATACTAGATTATTAATTTAATTCAATGATTAGCTTCTATTAATTATTTCCTGATATTAGCTTATTTAATTGACATTGTATATTAGAATATTTACTTTGTTATCAAATTTTTTATTATATTTTAAAAATGAGAAATTTGAGGTCAAAAATAATTTATATAGGCAATTCATGGAAATGCAGAAAATTAGATTAAATAAATTTATATGGAGGTTAGTTGGATACTAAATTCCATCAATCTAAAGCAATTTCAAAGAGGAAATCGATTTTACTGAAAAATGTTCATTTACTAGAAGGGCCAATACAGAATAGACAATAAAGTTTATTTTTAATCTATTTTTTTTTCTTTTTTTTTGTACGTGCTTTACTATTTTAGAATGATAGTAAAAGACACGAATGAACCATTTTATAATATTAGTTAGTTAATTATTTATATTCCAAATCTCAAATAGTTTGTGTGACCTGATGTTAACAACTCCATGTTGAATTGTTAATAAAATTTATAATCTAAAGTACCTTATAAAAGCTGTCGATTTACGATTTTAATATAGTGATTAGTTGAAAAGAATTATATGAATAATAATGGAGATAAATTTTTTAGATATTATAAAAATTCTCCATTTGTAGAATATCGATAATTATAATTATTGATTATATTCACCAAGTCTCAGGAATAAATCTCAGTAGATTAATTTCAGTTTTTTTATTTTTAATGAAAAGCAAATATAGATTTTATTTATAAATATTTTTGTATAAAATAAGAAAATTATTCGAAGTTGGTTTCACAACTTTCCTCATTTTAATTTTAAATTTAAATGACAACGCCAAGATTACTTTTAACAGAAATCTCTCTATAAATATTGAAATGAAAGAATCTATGTAACAGACATTCCAATCGGAAATTGGAAATAATTGTAGATGAAAATAAATTAAGTATTATAACTGCCGACTATAAAGACTTGACTGCAGAGAAGAATCAGAGAGATCTAAGCTGCTAAGATATACCCGTTAATGGTAAGAGGCTCAGGTAATTACACAAGAAAGAAGTGAGAAAAGACCAAATGAGGAAAGATAATCGAAAAGAGAAATAAAAAATAAATCAATGAGTATGATTATTATTTTCTCTTCATTATTGCTGGTGAACTTGAACAATAATCGAATGAAATTATTAAATAAAATAAACATTGACAGATTTACTATTAATTTTGAAAATCAAATCTCCACTCACACTAAAGTATCTCTCAATAATAAAACCAATTTATTTGCAACGGTAGTTTATGAGAAGAAAAAGTAATAACCTAAACTTTCAACATCTATTAGTAATGCATTAAGATTTCATCAAATTTTATCAGATCTGTTGAGTAAACTTCTTATGTTTATAACATGATAAATGATTATAAAGTAGGTACTTACCCAAAACAAGAAGGAGAAGAAACACGTAAGAACCCATGATTTGTTAGTAGTAAAAATATGCGATAAGATATTAGCTTAGCAGTCGTCAGACGATGCACATGATGTGTACAGCACAGTGTTATGCATCTGACAGAAAGCCTGAGATTTAACACACATTCACATGGAAGTTTGGTAGTACTGTGCTGAATGAAAATTCCAAGGTTGTACTTGATAGCACTTAACTCTTCTTATTCAAAACTTTTCACCAAAAACGTCACGCCCTTCTTCTCAACCTTTTCTTTGCTCCAAAAAATCGTAATCTTATTGATGCCGACACACAACACTTATGTCACAGTCACTCAAGTCTCGCGATTCATTTCCATCTTTCGATGTGTTTTAATAATAATAATAATGAATGTCCTGAAATAAAAGCATGTCTTGAATATCTTGCAAGAATTTCAAGAATTTTGTTCTGTTGAGGATGATCAGTAGCTTGCTAGTATTAGAAATTACATGTAATATTTATCTTCTCTCAATGTGGTCACACGCAAATTGATGAAAACATTTACGTTATGTCAAGTGCACGCCTGATTACGTGCACTAGAATCCTATGTCGTGATGTGGTTGTAGCCGCGGTGCTACTCTCCGCGGAGGAGACACCAACGCGCGTTGCGTATAATACGCTTTATATTCAGAGAACGCCAAGTCTACTACTGAAGAGAGATTCACGCTGCTGGGTGCGCTTCGTTCACGTATAATACCGCTTGCTTTGTGAGTAGCCACGATGTCCGCTCGCACTCTCTCGATCCTATACTATATTCCTTACGTCTTTCTCATTCATACGGCCCTTTCTACTTCTTTTCTCCCTCTCTCAGACCGTCGTTGTCATCGTCACCACTGCGTTGCTCAGAGTATTGACCGGTTCAGAGCGACTTCGAGCTAACACAGCAGCACCGGCAGCAACCACAGCAGCAGAGGGTATCAGCAGATCACGAAAGCCTGCTGCACAAAATAATGCGCGCGCATCTTCTCCCCAAGTCACGATGTGTGTGTATGTGTGTCTTTTTACATAGGAAAAAACTGTGTATATCAAGTAATTGTATCCGAATACACACGCTTTTATTTCAAGGGTGAAGAAGACAGAGACAGACTAAGAGCTGTAAAGTTGCAAATCCTGAAAATCCGCGATAACAGACGATTCGCAATGTTGCCAAGTGTTGGCTAAACTGAAATGATACGATAATCCATTGATTAATAGGTTATGATATAATCGGTATTAATATTTTTAATTGCGGATTGGTTTGGTTACTTCTCGTTGGCATAGATAAATCTTTGAGTTATTTCTCACTCTTAATAAGCGCAACAATAATACACGTGCCACGTGAACCAAGACCTCAACCTGCTACCGTGTACTTCACCCTCCACTTGAATTTTTTACTCTTGTCACACGTGTCATGTTCACTTAGGATAGGGGTGCCACTTGTTAAATGCATACTTCTCACGTTAACAGAATGACAGCTCTAATTATGTTTTTTACCTTTTTGTAGACAGGTGTAAGCTAAAATTCCTACACTCGTTTACCTTGATAACAAAGTTTTAAATATGAGAATGAAGTTTAATTTTTATATCTCATAGACTTTTTTGGATTGCTTAGTATTTTTATGGAGTTTCGTAATGAGAAATTTTGCTCAAATTCCTGAAATATTTAAAAAAGTACATTTTTATCTATATAATATTAAAGAAAGGAATATTATTTTCAAACAAAAAATTAAAAATCATTTATTACAAAAAGAATATAATTATTACATAAAACTATCACTAAATATGAAATATTTACATAGTTTAAGTATTATAAAAAGACTTATAGATGTTGACATGTATCTTGTTAAGAAATATGCTAAAATTTTATATTCAACACAAATCCAAAATATTTTTACAATGAATTTCATTTACATGTCGAATAAAAAAAACTTAATCTATTTATAAAAGTGGTCGATACTGATTTTCTTAATAAACAATAACTTCCTACTTGGAAGCTAATAATAAAGATTTTTGAACTAGGGCCAATTATTACAAACAGTTTAATTCAACAGAAGATGATAATGACATGAATATTGTTATAGTCAACAATAAATGATATTTCTTGAAAAAAAAGTTTTTTTTTAAAATTATTTCTGTACTTTTTTCGTTTCTTGTGCTCGTTTAGTAGCATGCTGCCTTCTTACTTCAAATGCAATTATACCTAACGCCATGCTAGTGTTTAAACTTTCAACACCATTAGTCATTGGTATATTAACACGAATACCAAGTTTTTTGTGAACTAAGTCTAAAGCTTCAAAACTAATTCCTTCTGTTTCACCTCCAACAATGAGAACAGTTTCCTCAGATGTATAATCTGCTCCATAATAGGGCACAATAGGAATAAATTTAGTAAGCCTTTGAAGTAATTTAGCTTCCTGTAGACGCTGTGTCGCGGTTTTTGTTATTTTTGGACTTTCATTTTCTAAAGTTTTTTCTAGGACTTTCTCTGCTTCAACTGGATCACCAGAATTTCCTTCAGCATTTGTCTCGGCATCAATTTTTTCGACATCAAACTCTTCATCGTCTTCTGAATCAGATTCTTGATTAATTTCTTCATCAAAATCTTTACGAGCTTCTTGAACAGATTTTTCAGGTAAATCAGCATGAGTTTTAACTGCTTTTTCTTTTTCCTCTGATTGATGCATAATTTTGGATTCATCTTCTTTGGGGAATTTAGTCAATACACTATTGTCTGCTATAAAATAGCTCGCAAATGGATCGATCAATTCGCCAATTACTTCATCCCACATTTTCGAAGGAGAAATTGACATTCGAAAATGTGCACCCGCTGCAGTTTTGAGTACTTTTGAATCCCAAATATCCACACAACCTGTGATAAATACAATCTTTCTTTAGTTGGATTTATAATTATTTTATATTAATTTTAAATAAAATAAGAATAAATATTTTCGCACCTTTTATGGTTATCAATCTTTTACATCCTACTGCTGCGCAAGCTCTAAGAATTGAGCCCATGTTTCCTGGATCACGAACATTATCACAAATAATTGTGAGAGGCAAAGCGTCAGGTGGTGGTTGTCGTGATTCTGGATCTGGCATTTTGAAAAAGCCTACAAATACATATTTTTAATAATTTATGAATAACTTGATATAAACAACAATACCCAATAGTGAACATGTTCATACCCATGAGTCCTGGAGATGTAGTTAATGTCGACCAAGTCTGTATTACTCTATAAGGTGTCTTGAAAAATTTGATACCACGCTCCGGTAATGGTAACGACATTGCATCTTCAATCCTACTAAATACAATTATCTCTGGCTGTAAACCTGCATCAATAGCGTCTGCAATAAGTCGAAAACCTTCCAGAATAATTCTGCTGTTCTTATCACGAGTTTTTTTTGATCTCACTGACAACATCAAATTTCTGTAACAATTATTAATGAAAATAAATCAACAATACCTTAAAATATTACATTTTAAAATAAAAATTTGTCTTACGCTAATATCGGATCGTTTTCCTTGAGCTCAGTAAAGTTCAGTTTTCCATCATTTTTCAGTCGAAGATCGTTTTCTTTAACTATTAGTTTTTCTTTTTTGATTTTTTCTTTTTGTTTTCTTTTTGGCCTTACAGTTAAAGGTTTCCTCTTCAATGGTTTCATTACGTCAAGATAATCATGGGGACCTTCAGCTTCCTGAACGTGCTCCAAAATTTCCTCTTCATGATTTATTTTTATTGGTTGTCTATTAAATCCTTCACTATATTTCTGTATGTGTGCAATAGTCAGTGGAGTACATGCACGCAGGTGATTCGATGTATTCCAACACTTTGCAATTAATCTTATATTACTAATCATTATTAATAATGTTCAATTTTATGTAAACTTTAACGAAAATTTTTCAAAAACATTCATTAATATAAGGTCAATGTTTTTCTAGAAATATTATAGAAAAAAATAGTCTTGCAGGTAATTTGAAAAAGTAAAATTTACTTCTCTGGTAATAATTGCACCAACATTTCAGAGGTATTGTCACTTGTCATAGAGTAATATTCAAATATTTTCTGTCCGAACAAGTAATTGTGATCTTAGTAGTTTTGAAGAAGCGAGGTTATGTCGAGAGCACGAGTTTCACATTCTCATTACAACAAGAAGATTCATAAAGGCGTATTTTCACTGAACGTTAACACGTGGTCATTTCAACTTGAATGGTATGTGGTAAATCCATGCACGTGTTTGTACCGGCATAATCCATGAGGATATTTGGAGAAGTCAAAAACAGGTAAAATTTTTATGAAGACAACACTCATTGAAAGTTGTAAATCACTTTTCACTTGTTAAATCACATTAAAGAATTATTTACGAATTGAAAACTTATTATAAAAATTCAGCTTTGCCGTATCTATAAATTACTCAATTATTTACATCATAACTTCAAGGTTATATACAGGTAAAAATTTTTAATAAATAAGTTTATAAACATCATAAAACTATTAACGACAACCACATCCATCAACAACCATACTTGTGTACTTTTTGTAAACTACCCTATTTTCATTTTCGAAATAAAGTAATTGAATAGGTGACAGTTTTGTTGCAACACAACAAGGTTCAGGTACTTTGTCAGGATGAATTTTATGATACAATGATAAAGTAACTGCATAGTTAGTGGCATTTGCTGTCGTCGTTAAAGGAAAGGTACATTTACCATCACAAAAGTACATATCATATCCTTCTGGAGCAATAATCCATTCATGCCATTTAATATCTTTGAAATTCACATGATAATTTCTACGTTCACATTCACCAACGTATGTAGATACTGGTCGATTTAGCTGCCGATGAGTAAAAGTATCAACTGACAACGGTGCTGATCTTTTCAATCTTTTATTTCTGTAAATAATATCTTTTATTTTCATCCGAATCTTATTATTATTTATGTTTTTAAAATATCCTGTAATAAATGGTTGTTCCTCCTCCGCACCATCGAAACCAACAATCCCCATATTTTCAGCCTTCACCCTTTTGTTTTCACGTTCAGTAGGAAACGTAAGAACACGTATACCGCGATTTTCACGTGGATGCTCCAACCAACGACGAAAAGCACTTGTAATATTTAATGTAATCCAGCCTTCAAAATTGGCTGTTATTACAACTGAGGCAATTTCTTCAAATTGTTTTTCGTGAAATTTATCACGATAGACTTTGTCTACAACAATTTTGTGTGGACGAAGATGTTTTCTCCTTAATCCTTCAATTGATCTGTAGAGTCTCAATTCTCCATACAAAAAATCATTCTCTTTTGCTATTCCTGAGACATCGAACCACATCCTTCTGACTCTTTCCGGTTTTTCTCCGTCACTATGGGGCTGTTCAGCCATAAAACTGATAATTACATCACTTTTTGCTGTCATTCGACGATTTATATCCGAGACATTAAATTGATTCTTAGATGTTTGATCATTATAAATTTCAAGCATAAAATCTGGCGCAGATCTTTTACGCACTGGTGCCTTCGACTGAGAGTCTGATATTTCGGGAAATCCCATGAGCCTTAATATTTCTTGTTCGATAGTATGGTAATCGAAAGCATCAGCAACATATCTCACTCTATCTCGGCTCACACAACACTTAAAACAGTACAAGCTAAGTATACTTAAATAGATCAAGAAATTTTTATTATCCATGATGACAAAACAGCAACTATTTACTTTTACCAACTTGACGTTTCTCAAACACTTGTTCTGCTCTTCAAAGTTGTTAGTACTAAACTAAAATGAAATTATGACAACGTCTTCCTGACAGCTACCCCTCCATACTCTAAGTTCAACCCCTAAAAACTAGTCCAGCCCCCAGGTAGTTATGACCACCACTACCTGCTAACGAATTTTAAATGTGCGGGTACTTATTAGTGTCCAGTTCAAGATACCAGTATTTTTGGACTAATTGAAGGATTTCTAATTTTCATACTATAATATTTACATTATTATTTACTCATCAGTGAATTCATGTGAGATTAGGTGAGATGTTAAGTAAAAAACCATAATATAAATAGTTTACAGTATGTAAAATATATTTTCATAAATGGTAATGGCAATACCGTTCATATAAAAATTGTTTCAGCTCATTCACACAAATATTTATAAATATCATAATTATTGATTTGTTTGCTTTATAACCAAGTTACAAATAGTTCAAAAATGATTACAAATCAAGTTCACATCAACTGAATATAGCATAAATTATTTACGTACAATCAAAAACATTCTTTTATCATATATAAAAATTCATTATTCTATACTTTTTTTTACTTTTAATTGTTTATAAATTATTCAATAACACAAGTACAATTAATTAAAACAGTTGTACAATTGATAAAAAGTCCTAAAAATGCCTTTGATCATTCATGTAGCGTACTGGAGCATGATTAAGGTTGTGATAAGATTGGCTACGTCTATCTTCTTTCAAATCATTTGTCGGTCTCTGATACACTTGATAATAAATATACGGAATTGTTCGAACACCTTCACGATTTTCTGGCCGTGGGGGATCAACGTAACCAGGGTAATCAGGTCGAGGCGTTTGCTGAACATTTTGGACAACTTGGAATTGTGAAAGACTATGAAGAATTCCAACAGATCGTCGCCATCCATTGTAATGCCTATGAAACTTATCTCGTTCATCTTCTTTTTGGTTACGTTGCAATGATCCACTTTCTGTTGAATTACTATCTTCACTAGTACCAAGTCCCGGATCTCTATCTTCAAGACTAGTATTTTGAACTGACTTATTTATCGAAGTTTGATGATACAACAACGTAGGATGAGGTATAATAAATGGCAATGGAAGTTTGTTCATTTCATTTTTATCCAAGTCAGTACGTTTAGTTTCTTTATCTTCTTCCTTTTTATAGTTTGAGCAAGAACCAGGTCCAAAAATAGATAATAATACAGGTAATAAGAAAAGTCCGTGCATTGCACCAATAAATATTACTAAAAATACCATCTTGAAAAAGACTAGGAAAATATAAGTGCCAGCTAGAACTAGAGCAAGAAGTCCCAAGATAGTAGAAGCTGCGCCTTGAACAATTGGTAGGCCAAGACTGTAAAGACAATCTTTGACACGGTCATCAGGATGTTTTTCTTTAGAGCTCATGTAAGCATAACAGATGTGAGCGGTAAAATCAACGCTAAATCCAATACACATAATTAGGTTGATCATAGAAATGCTATCCAAATTCACATCCCACAAAGCCATATATCCAGCAACTCCAAGTTCAATGGAAATAATGCAAAAAGCAACCCATAAAGAGCAAAGAACATTTGGAATAAAGATGAAAGATATAAGCATCATAATCAAGGCACCAAATACCAAACATTGAATGCTTGTTGGTAAGACTAGTTCAAATTGATCGAAAAATACAAAATATGGATGAAACACTGTAGCATTTAAAGGAGATTCGTTGCAAATTCTTCTTAATTCTTTAACCATAGCCTTCGCCGGAATGGTTCCACTGACATTCACTGCTTGAATCAGGAAGCGGCTGGCAATAATGTGTTGTCCACTTGGATCAAATTTCACATCAAGTGAGTATGAACTTGATGGGGCCAACCAAAGTGCTTTCAAATTTTTTATAAAATCTTCTTCAGTTGAAATACTAATATTTAAATAATCTTCGTTGGACTTTACATAAGTAAGGAAACTTCGTAACCAACTTTCTGAGTAGATTGGATTGGTGATATACGGTGTTGCTTCCAACTCTCTCGTCAAGTTCTCCATTTGTGTTTGAATTAACGGATCACTGTAGTCATATTCCCCGGAAATGATTACCTAAAATAAATTAATTGTAATAAATTATCATGATCTCACAATAACATTAAAAAAAATATTAGAAATTTTGATTTGAAAGGTCTTTGATATGCTAATTATGATAAAGAAAATAAATTAAAACATTCACTACAATTGTAAGGAAAAGTTTTCGTTGCTTACAAAAATTTATTAACTTCTATAAATATAAATATCTTTTTGTGTTTACTTTCGTTTGTTTCTATTTTACTTTCAAACACTTTCTGTATAAAAATATGTAAATATATGTCGTTGACATCCTTTAAAATGTAAATGTTATGAAGTGAAAATAAATCTTGATAAAGACAGAGAAACTTGAAAACAAAAAATAAATTTAAAGAATAGAGCAAAAATGTTGTTTAATTATTTAAACTTTTTTGCTGCCAAATTTTAAAGTAATGACTCGATAAGTACATGTACATTCTTATTAAAAAATTATATATAATACTATTAGAATAAGTTTAATAGTTGCTCATATTGATCTCATTAAAATATGTGTATTGACAAATGTTAATCATTTAAAATAATATGAGTGGTTTTATCATTAATATCCGGACATTAAAAAAAAATACTGGAGAAAGTTGCTTGTTTAATACAAAATCGACACGTGACTAAATGACAAGTCAAATAAGACTTTTCCATTCAATTCATAAGTATACGTTCATCTTGGAGGTTGCAAAAGTGAAATTCACTTGTTCGAAAATATTATTTAACTTACCTGAATTCTATATGGAAATTCCTTAAAATATTCATCCTCGAGGTCGTAAAAAACAATGGAATAAGAGTCTTCTTTTGAAAGCTTGCGTCTTTCCAAACCTTCTTTAAGATTAGTTAATCCATAAAGAGCCCCCGCCAAATATAATCCAAATATAATAATGACTAGAGCTTTTACGAGTCGACAATTTAGTGCAGTTGCCAGATAATCACGGAACCATGTCATACATCCATGTTCGGGATTATCAAGTGGATTATCAGGATCCTCACGGTTGACTCCACCACTACAGAGAACACGATAGAACCATGATCGGTGTGCTATAATAAAAATTAATTATTTTTATAACAATGTTAAAATATATTATTATTATAGAAACAGGTAAGTATAATTTATAAGGTTTCAAAAGAGTGTATACACGATAAAACTTTCAAACGTCTCGACATCAGTCAGAACATCAATAAGGTCAACGCAAGAGCTGGAGAAAGTAATCCAATCTTTCTTACATAATTCGAATGTGATCTAACAAATTAGTGATACTTAAATACTTCGATACTGGAATAAAATGCAGAAGAAAAATCTGACATAATTTCGAAGTCCAGAGCATAAATATTATTCTAAAGTTAATGTGAAACAGAACTGTTTACATAAGCGTGAAATTGAATTTATAATTTAATTATCTAATTAATTTAATCTTAATAATTTAGAATTTCATTGTTTATTAATGAGAAATTTTATGATGAGGTCAAAAAAAATTTTTCAATTCTAGCTGACACAAGTTAAGAAGAAAGTAAAAGTTTTTGTTACCGAAAAAAAGCAAAATGATAATCGTATGTTTTTATGTAAGAAGAGACAGTCAGTTATAAAACAACATTTTTTTTGTACTCGAAATTGCTTGATTAAACTTACTCGACTTTGAGAGGGGACTGACTTTACAGCAGATTACACTGTGTCGGTTTTCTTGCTCACAATAGCCACTAATAGCGACACATCCGCTGAAGAACGTCAGATGAAACAGAAAAGTAAAAACAACTGCAAATCCTGTTGACATTAATAACAAAGAGGAAATTAATGTTATTATCATAACTATAACTATTATTTTGATTAAAATAAATTTTTTTTATCGTAGCTTTAATAAAAAAAAAATCTACCTGAATAAGTGCAGAATATTTGAATTGATGGAAATGGTGAAAAAATCCCAATGAAAAATGAGATAATATCAGTTACTGATGTTATTGTTATTGAAACAGCAGCTTCACTGAGTGTTACTGCCATTCTTTGAGGTACTGGATCTAAAATATTTGTTCTTCTCCACGCCGCCAACATCACGAAGGTATCATCAATGCCAATACCTGTAATAGAAATAAAAAAATATAATAATAAAACTGAATGTTGACTTAAAATTTTTCTAATTTTGATATATCAGTAATCAATAGTTTATGTGAAACGCGGAACTTGAATGAAATTTATGGGTTCGTCTACATCCTCAAACTCCGTCAATATTACAGACTGTTGCCATTTATTGCAAACTAATAAACTAGGTGTAGTTAGTCAAGTGTAGTAGGATATTGCAGTAAATACTTTTATAGAGAGTAAAATTTTGCAATGTATTTTATTTAAATAAAAAAAAGAAAAAAAATATTTTCAATTTAAATTCAACTAAATAATTACGTCATTTAATATTTCTATCGGATTTTATTTTTCATCACTACATTTATGATTATCAAATTGTAAATTGGAAGCGAATTAACGAATTTCATTTGATCCATATCATTCTACTCATAATAACTCAGGTATTTCCAAACCACACAATAACTGTCTAGTAAATTTCATTGTCAATCGCAACAATAGAATTATGCAAGTAACTGATCGTGCTGCAAATATTAATTGAGTGGTTGGCGCAAAGAATGTAGAAAAAATAATCATTGAAGAGGATAATTTTCATTACAAAATATTTTATTGTATCTAGAAAAACTTACCAATTATCAGAAAAGGTGCTGCAAGATTGATTCCAATGAAATCAATTCCCAGATACATACAGAGTCCAAAGGCTGAAATAAGTGCTAAAGCAGCGGAAATATTACCAAGAAGTCCAAGCCATGGTTTGCTTCGAACCCAATCAGTCATCATACAAGTAGCAATTGAGAATATACCCATAATTGCGAATGTACTAGAGAAATAAGGCACAACGGTTTTGGTGTTTGCTTCTAATTCAAGCTCCAAAGTCTTTGAGGCAAATCGAGCTATGCTAATATGTTTGAACATCCCACTGTCATCAGCTTTACCTACAGCATTCAAAAAGGCTTCTTCCCATGCTGAACCACTAATCATAATAAAACAATTAATTATTATTGTAATCATAGAAAGAAGAATAAAGAGAATATTTATTTAGAATATAAATTTCCGTACATGGCATCCTGCCGTTTTGTGTCAACAGCAATAAAGTATGCAAGTTGAAGTGATGGTACAGAATCAATGGTCAAGTCTTCTGTGAGGACACTCCCACCGAAATAAACGGGAAACAAATGGGTCTCCCAGGTCACTGGATTAAACATTATTGGAAAAGTCAAATTCAAAGTCCGGTTTTCCACATCTCTAGAAAAAGGATTATAAATTCAATTATGTATTCGTTGGGACTTTATTTCTATTTGCCATAGTGATTATTCCAACAATACTTACTCTATTATATGATCAAGATTCAGGATATTATTGTTGAAACAGCTATTAAGCCAACGAGCACAAAGCTGTTCGTAAGTGAAGATTTCACCCTCGTATGTGGTTGTTATATTTTTGACTAGACTGTCAAGTAATCGTAATTCATTCCATACAACTTTTCTTAGTAAAGTATTATGACCATCTTTCGGAATTATTATAACCCGACCAAATCGGCCTGAAAAAATAAAAAAAAAAAATTTAGTTGAGTAATAAAAAGAATGTACATATATTACGCAAACAAAAAATTAATATTTAATTACATTTAAAATAAATAATTAATTTTAGGTTGTTTTTTTTTTTGTAATATTTAACCATGTAGAATATTACATAATTTAAGTATAATATTTGTTTAAAAGAGATAAAGTTTAAATAAGAATTTTAATGAGTGTATAAGGAAATAAATAGTTGAATTTCCATCAAATATTTACTAAAAGAAAAACGAATAAATTATTTTTTTTAAAAGCACTACATCAACTCTATCAATTTATCAACTCTATTAAGAAATATTTAGCATTGAGACCAAACAGTAAGTTCCTAATAAATTTAATTTACTTCCTCATTCATTATGTTGATTGAACTTGAACAAGATTCGAAAAAATTTTATTTTTATTGCACAAGAAAATGAACGTATCATTTAGACATCATTAATATACTTTATAGTAATTCATTAACAACATAAAAGCGTTGATAAATTTTTAATTTATTGTTTCAAGTAAGATTTTTTTTGAAATGGAAACTTATTACGAAAATCTAACCATATATTTTCCAAACTGAATGCTATTTTTATTATGTAGTATTTCTCACCAAACTAACATGAGTCAAAGCACAGAGAAAAGAGTTTAGTTGAACAGGGAGGGGGTCTCCATGTAAAATTCTTGGAAAGTTAACACAACCAATATAACATAACCAATATAAATTACCTGGTCGAATAATTCGTCCAACATCAAAGTAATGACTGTAATTAACTTTAAAGTGTTGCTCCACAATTTGTCTTTCCAATTTTCCAGGCCCGTTTATGGGTGAAAATAAATACTCTGGATCAGTTTCATAATTAATTTTTTGATATCCAGTAACACATATACAGGCTAGTAAGACTGGAATAATAACAAAGTAGCCGGGATTGCGTCCAACAATTAATCCAACTTTATAAAAAATCCGATTTAAGAGATCGTCGACAAATGTTAAACTACAACGCATCTGTAATAAAAATAAACATGCATTTATAATTAACATATTTGAATGATGATGAATTTATAATTAAAAATTAGATAGTTATTTACATCTTGTAAAATCTTCGACGCAATTAAAGGGTAACCTTGATAAAACTATTCTAATACAATACATTTCAATCATCTATTGATAATATTGTTTATAAAATTACAATTCTAAGCTATAAATAATAACTGGTAAGTACTAATGCAAGTACCTTCTACATAATTTTCTTAGCCAAAAATTTTAAAATAATAATTGTAAAATTTTTTTTACACGTAGGATATACCAGATAAAGTTATTATAACTATAAATCAATAAAAAAAAAAATCAAAAACAGTTTACATAAAAGAGAAATTTTTGGAGAACTTTAGAATCTCATAAAACCTTTTTCCGCCACCAGATAATCAACAGAAATACGTAAGGTCAGGTATAATGAGTTATTCGGCAGTTTAAATCTGCTTTTGAAAGTTTGAAGGGGGAGGTAGCAGGTAAGAAATCATTATTTGCGGACAGACAGTGGTACTCTTAAAGATTTAGGTACAAAAGTACTATTAAATAAACGTTCATAAGTGCCAATTCATAGTTTTCCAATGGAAAACTTTGATCCGAGAAAGCATCTGGGAAAGGTTATACCTGCTTTCTCATTTATCTTCTCCAAAAAAGACTCTTAAGCCTTTGTTCTTATGGATGAACCAACTGACAGTTTTCAAGATATTTTCAACATTTACTGAGGTACCAATATAAGACTTACTTGCAGAATAAATATTAAAAAATATTATAATACGTTGTAAAATAAGCTGACATAAATATTATAGAAATTTTTTAGTTGACTGTCATAACGTACCAGCGTCGAATATCTACAAGCTTTATTAAACATGATTAATCTTAGTTGTTGAAAAAACATAAAAAATATTTAGATACCTCACAAGCCTAGTACATGTTTTATAGTCTCTATTTACTGATTCTCTCTAGCTCTTTCTTTTTTTTCTCCCTCTTGTAGAATAATAATAATTATTATTATTACACATAAGTATATGTACGAATGTGTTAAAAATGCAACAAGCGAGCTATTACATACATTTACATGATTATAGAAATCTGGACAACCTTGTCTTGATTTAGTAATCAAATGCTACTTTATTTCCATTTCATCTTGAATTGAACTTTGGTGTAGTTCTATCTATCAAGTGAATGACTTTATTTTGAAACCTATCAGATTCATTAGATTAAATGAATAATTATCAAATTAATAACAAATTTGTGCTTTTATTTATTAATTAGTTTATTTTTATATTAAATTAAAATATAAATACTTGAAATTATCGTATCACTAATAATGATACATTAAGACTATTTTTTATACAATATTTATTCAGGTCGTGTGCACAACAAGAGGTCGAGGATTTTCGTTGAAAAAATGATTAATTGTACGAGTAAAAGTGACCAAGTAATAAGAAGGAATGTTTATAAAATATAAATAAGGCAAAAAGGAAGAAATGGTGAATGCACAAAATAATGTTTTTTTGTTTGTATTCTAGAATTGTAGAGCTGTTTATGAGGAAGTAAAATATCAGTAAAAACATGTGCTATGAGAAATGAAAGTATAATATTTGACCATACACCAATATAATATTATATTGGAGACAGTTGCATGTACTTCAGCAACGTAATTTAAGCTATCGGATATGAAAATCGATTGATGCTAAAATGAATGGAGTTATCACTTATATCATCTCTTCCTGTATTCACAAGAGTACCTGCATGCTTACAAAGATGACGAACATTACCGGATGACGTTCGCTAGACGAAGTTGACAATGTAATATATTTTATCAATAGCTTGATCTCGTTTGGAATAAAAAATAATCATCAATTATATACATTTCAACATTAGTTGTTAAAATGACCCTCAGGAGCATATGACGTGAAAATATCTCGACACGAATCATGAAGCAAATTCTATGCGCGAAGAATTGAAATTGATGGCGCAACGATAAGGAGCAATAATCGTCGAGGAAATTCAATTCAATTTATCGACTAGAAAATTCGTCGTATCAATTTCACGTACTGGTTTCCTTAACATCTTCTCCAACACTAATTGAGAGATTATAGAAAAAATGATATGAGATTAATGAACTGTAATCTATACATAGACATGTTTTCATAAGTTCCCCTTTATGTTAAGCATAATTTAATAATTTATGGGTCTCCATTGGTCAATTTATCAACTACACACTATTAATACAGGATTTAAAAAATATTTATAAATAATATGCCGCTTTTAAACAAGTTTAAAATTAAAAAAATTTACCTTGATCTTACAAACACAAAAATTTGATGAATAAAGAATTTCCTAGAGAATGATCTTCGTTTTAACAGGTAACTTGAAATTTTTGTTTATAACTTATGTCAAAGTTGTTTTTTTTAATGTTTTAACGATTAGTTGAACTGTGCACGTCATATTATTGTCAACACTAATAATAACTCAGTTACTATTGAGTAGATAATAAAAAAATTATGCACATATTTATTTCAATAATGATATATTTATTTTAAACTTGATTTGGAGTTTCTTCAAATCTCAGTAAATTTATTGAAATAAAATTATAACAAATTTTTAATGCCTAAAAGTAATAAATTTTAATTAATAAAACGTACATTTTTTCAGAAAACAGAAAAAACTAAAACGCGGAAATAAATAAACCACCAACCAGAACAAAATTTCGAACGGCACTGAAACGGAGCGCACAGTTAAACAGCTCTTGGCCCTCGGACTTTCAAGCTGTTTCGAGAATAGAGACACTACACTAAATACATTACTCAGAGGATTTGAGAATCACAGGCGGATATGAGTGGTGGCTGTTTAGCAGTAGTGGGACAGAGAGTGAAGAGCTATACCAACTACCGAAGGGAAAATCGTAAAAAAGATAAGTTTAAAGTACTCATATATGCCATTTAAATAACATCGCTGATGATATTTATGAATAGTATTTATTTCCGGAAATCTAGGTCTCCAACTGTCATCTGATAACCTCGTTGAAACAAAACAAAATTATCAAATGGAAATTCTTGTCAATTTTTTATTATAGAAAATACTTGACTTAAATATTAAATAATTTCCGTAAATTTGGGTCTCCATTTATTTGATAACCTTTTTTATTAATGTAACAATAAAATATGATTAGATAAAAAGTCAGTTAGAGGTGCTATTATAGAAAGTATTCAGCTTTGATTAAAAAATAATTAGAATATTGCTTCATCTTGATTAGTTACTTATTGAGATCATTAAGTAACGTAGTTATAAAGATGACAAGTATGTGTGTGGCATGACCTGTGGTTGAATAGTAAGATTGATGTATACTTGAAGGACATGGATCCTTGAAACAAGTAGTTCATAAGCTCGGCCCATTATTATTCGTCCTTACGCAATTATTTAGGACTTTGTAATTGTTGCTATTTTTTTTTAATAATCTTCTAGTATGGATGTCAACTCGTTTACTCAACATCTATTTCTTCCATTTATTATGTCATACAAATTCTTCGAGGCAACCATAAAATAGAAAGATTTAATTTTTTTTTCTTTTAATTTATATTTTCTTATGGTTTTTACAGTAATATCATATGATTTAAAGTCCCAATTCAGCAAGCAAATAAAAATTAAACATTGATATTATTTGAAACATAATCTTGTGACAGTGTTGTCTGTATATCCCGTAAATATTCCATTTAAAGTTGATGGCTAGATTGTTGGTAGTTGATGGTCAGTCTCGATTCACATATAATATCAGACCAGTTAGTTTGAGTCATTCGAGTTAAGTATATTTATTTCTCTTTGTTGTGTCTCATCTTACAATTGTTTTTTTTTTTTTTATTGATAAATTGTCGCCCACTGAAAAATTAAATCTGTTACAAACGAGCTTCTAAGACATTATTTGCTTTGATCAAATTATATTATTTTTTGCACTTCATCAACTGTTTCCGTAGTGTAGTGGTTATCACGTGTGCTTCACACGCACAAGGGCCCCGGTTCGATCCCGGGCGGAAACAAATGTAATTTTTTTAGATCTTATCTATTAATCACTGATAATTTTTATAATTATAGTAAAATTTACAAATTAGCGATTCTATAAAAAATGATTCAGGCCTTGACAATAAATATTGAAATATCAACGTGACTGGAGCTTCTTAAATTTAAGTTTATAAAATGGCAATTAGAGAAAGATCAATTATCTATTTAACTTTCACTGGATCGATGAATGGCTTAGGTGAAAGTCAAGAATATAACTGATTATCATAAATGTTACGTCAGTCATGGTTACATACTACATTCAGCAGTAAATTTTTCTTGTCATTGGTACAGTAAATTACTGGACAAAGTTTACTTATTTCATTAAAACATCACAATAATATATAGAAAATCATTTTATTATCAAGTACAGATAATAGTTACATGACAGACCTATTTAAAGACTATAAAAATTTTTATACTAGTTTTTTTTTTTTTTATAATAAAGAATTTAATTATTTTTATTGATTGTGATTCGTGAACAAGTTGATTAATTGTTGAATATTTTTACTTAGTTTCAGTATAGATTGTAATATTTATAATGTAAGTATATATACAAATTATAAACCTACATGATTAGTACAAAAATTCATTTTTCATTGACTTAATCATGAAAATTATCGTCATACAAAGTAATCAATAATTACGTTTTTTCATTCAAAATACGAAAAATGTTTATGATGATTTATTATATTATAATATCCTACATAATACAATTTATCAGTAAAATTATAACATATAATAATACTACTTGTTTTCATCATCAGTTCTACGAAGCCGGATTTTTTTTTTTCAAATCTTCTGCAATAATATCAGCCCATTCGATTGCTGGTAATTGAGTACTAATAGCTTCGTAAATACTCAGTAAATCTTTTTTTGGTATTTTTTCGTCCTTCACATAAGACACTATGTAATCAGGAGTCAAATATCTTTTAAGAACCTTGTGTCTAATGTTGGGTGATTGTTTTTCCAAAACTTCTAAAACTCTTTCATGATTGTTTCTTTTTATTCCATTTTCAAGCACCAAATTTGAATCAAGTTCATCTAAAAGTTCTTCTAACATCACTTGAGTCTCTACAGTTTGAGTGTTAGTAAATACAGATGAATCAGTTGAGACACCAATTGAAACTTTTTGCACAGGTGATTCTTGAATTTGATTAATTAACTCTGTGGAAGTTTTCTTTGGTGGTGAAATAGATGTGTCTAATATTATTGAACCATAAGATCCAGAAACTTTGTCAGGAGTTTGGTTAGTCAGAACTTCTGTGATATTTAAATCATCACTTGGCTGGACTGAAGGTGTTAGTGAAGATATATCAACACTGTCATTAAAACTTGGAGATTCTTTAGTTTCATTAACAATTTCTAAATTATTTGTATATTTTTGTTTCGACTTAAGAGATCTTGAGAATTCATCAAGTATTTTTTTGACATAGTTCACCTTTGAATTTTTATTCAGAGGAATTTGAATTACATCTTGTTCTGTTAACCGTGCTAGATCTCCAATAGTATTGATATGTTTCGTGTTAAAATATTTAATTAAATTTTTCTTCCACAATGGATTGACTAAATGGGGAATAATCATTTCTATTGGCATTTCACAGTCCAATAATTCAGAATAAATGTAGTCTTTTTCATTTACTGATTCAGATTTCAATGACACATGAGTACTCTGTATAGAGCCTTGACTTAAGAATACAGAATCTGTTAATGGTAAAGTATCACATTCGGCTAAATTGTCGATAACAACATTTGAAGAATTTAATTTTATTGATTTGTTCTCTAAATCGTCAGAGTTAGCAGTTAAATTACTAATATTTTGAATATCAACCGTGTCTTCTAGAGCCTCTGACTCTTTTTCCTCAATAGATCCATTAATTATCTTCATAATAGTTGAGTCATTATTATCTTTACCATTTGATTTTTTTGTATCTCTCTTTTCATCTTCATGAAAAACATCTTGTTGTGTCGTTGATACCTCTATAGAAATGTCTGGTTGATTTTCAGTGACAAGATCATTTATTAATTCATTATCATTATTGTTCAGTCCCTTAATTAGATGTAGTGAATTATCAGTAAAATTGAAATCAACTTCCATAGGACCTACAATTGATTCTTCGATATCTTTATATTGTTCTTCCATAGTAATTGAAATATTAGTAAAATCGATATCTTTTTGATCTTGATTATCAACCTCATTTCCATTTGAAAAATCATTTTGTTTGTCAGTCGGAATTTCAATTATCTTCCACTTCAGCTGCCGTGATCGATAAGGAGTTCCCTTTCTAACTGGAAAACTGTAGGAAGACCCAAGTTTTGATTTCGAAGGTGACATATCACTAATAATTTCATATCCCATTTGTTTAGATACTGGAGGATCAGCAAAACTAACTCTTTTTCTCTTATGTGTTGGTGTCGTATCAATATCAGGATCTAATAAAGCCTGTCGTTGTTTTTTAAGAATACTTGAACTTGGAGAAGCGGTCAATGATGGAGGATTGGCGCTGGACCATTCTAAAATAGGTAGTTCTTTCTCAAATGAAATACTTGAATCTTCTTTCATTTCTGTATAATCATGATCATAGAGTTTATTTATTTTCTTCGCGGACTTTTCCATTTTAGGTGAAATTTTTTCTCCATCATTTTTCAAATTACAAAACAATTTAGGAGGTGGCGATGAACAATTCCCTGCCTTCATATTGTTAAAAATCTTTTCCTGGCGATGTCCAATAGGACTTGACATTCGTTCAGAGTCTTTAAATAATCCTAACGTTTCCTTTTTCATACCTAAAGTATCAATTTCTTTATCAAAATTCATTTCTTTAGTTGTTTCTTGTTCATTTTTTTCTTCTTCAGCTTCACCAGAAAGTTTTCCTAATTTACTTTTTTCTCCAATCACCTGCTTGGTTACTAAGTTTAACATATGCGCTGCTCGACCATTAGAAGAATAATTTTTAAATTTTAGCTTACTTTTTTCCTTAGGCGATAAATAAGGAATAATAATGTTTTTTTTATTATTTTCCTTTGATTTTAGAATATACATTTTTGGTTCTAGAGACTTACTTATAAGGACCTCCTCAGACGGTAATTCTTTAGATTGATGAGTCTTTATATTCTCAGAAGAGCTAGATTTAGTTGATGAAGTCGTCAGTAATGGACTGTGTTGTAAGTCTTTTCTTGCTGATGGTAATGGAGATATGTCACTTTTGTCATTAGTTATAATTAATTTTTTATCATTTTTCTTTAATGAATTTTCGATTAAAGAACTTTCTTGAGAACTTTCTATTACTTCGTCTTCTAGTGTCATTTGTTGTTTATCAGTGGTTACAATTGTTGAAATTTCTGTTGGTGAACTAGAAATTTTCATGCCATTTTCGATATGATTGTTAATTGATTTTTCATTACTGTCATCTTTCTCTAAAAAACTCTTATCGGAATCTTTTTCACTGTCTGTAAATTCTTTACCATCTTCATTATTTTTTAGAATAACAGTTTCACTTTTTGAATGTTCAATAGATTCATTTTTAGATTGTTGATTACTTTTACTATCTCTTCGCCTTCGTTTATTTAATAATTCATGATTGGGTTCATTTAAAAGTTCATGTTTATCAACTTTAATGTTCTTCTGTCTCGATTTATTTTCTGTAGAATGTCTTTTTGTAGTTGTATCATAGACATAATCGTCACTTGGCTTAGATCTTAATTTACTAGTCATTTTGCTGTCGAAAACCATATCGATTTTTAGCCTCGAAATTTCTTTTTTTGTACGCTTAGGTAAATTAGGATCATCTGGCAAATTAACTGTATCGTCTTGGTTACCTATCTTAGCTAATTGCATTTGATTTTCATTGGAATCAACCGGTATTATTGTATGTCGTCGACGTTTAGCAGTTAATTCTCTGTCAGAGTCTTCATCAGCAGTTTTTCTTTTAATTCCTTTTGTATTATTTGTTGTAACAGCATCTAATTCAGTTGAAATTTTATCATTTAATTTTGAAGATCTTGTTCTTACTCTTGGTAATTGTAGTTCTTCAGACTTTCGATGTGATTCAGTAAAGGTGTTACTTGTACGACGTCCAGAACGGCGTGTAATTCCTTTTACTTGATGTTGATTATTATTAGTAGGATCATTATCATCAGGAAATTCTTCACGAGATTCAAAGTTTAATTTTTTTGCAACATTTTCAGGCACTTGATTATTTTCATTATTTTTATCTATATCACTATCACCACCCTCTGGATTTATTTCGTCATGTTTTTCGTCTATTACTTGAGTATCATTATTCACTTTATCTGCATTCGAGCAAGTCATTTTAGGTAAATAATTCATATAAGAAATTTTATCACCACTTAAATCTGTTGTGATATCATTTTTATTTTCTTTATTAGCATCATTATCAACCGAAGTAACTTTAGTTTCCAAATTAGTTCCCTTATCTTTAAACCAATTTTCTAACTCTTGAGTATTACAAGATCCAGATTGTGATAAATCGTTGTACATGGCAGGAATATCATCTTTGTGTTGTTTAAAGCATTCTTTTTGATGTTCTGTTAAAAGATTAACATTAACTTTAATTTCATTATTGATAACTACATATTCCTGTGAATCCGGTTCAGGTGGCGGAGGCATTATTTTCTTGCCCTTATCTTTCTTAGTAGATACTACTTTGGAGCTTGTAAATTGTCGATTAAAGAAACTACCAATAACTTTAACTGGTTTAGTAATATTGACAACAGTGTCATTCTTCACTTCACGTGAAATTTTTTTTGTGTTCATCATTTTCTTAGCTTCACTTTCAATATTTTCTAATAAATCTCTGGATTTGTCATCAAGATCTTTCTTGATATCAATAAGAGACAAAGTTTCAGATGCTATTTCAGCGTTTGCATGAAGCAAACCAAGTTTAATTGTCTCTCGATATAAATTTAAAAAATTGAAAGTTAACATTTTAAAAAGACCTCGAAAAATAAGTACTACAGTTTCCCAAGTATTAATAATCTCTTTCTGGATACTTTCTGGAGCTTTGATTTTCAACATATTTTCAATAGTAGAATTTATAATGCCCAAATAAATTATAATTTTCTCTTGATTTAATCCATACACAGTAATAATAAATGAAGATATTGCTTTTAACGTATATTCAATTTCTGAACTATTTTTTATAAAAGATAAAGCTGTTGAAGTCACATCTCGTAAAAGAATTACAATTGGAGGTATTGATTCTTGTTTTAGAAGCTCTCCATAGTGAATTGTACTCATTAATGTACTTAAACAATGAGAAATAAAAATATAACATTTAGGTTCTTGTAATAAACAATTGGACATCATTTCTGATACATTGTTGAGAATTTCATTAAATTTTACAGTTGTAATTAAATCTGCTTGCATATTAAATTCTTTATATAATTCTCGCCATATTTTTACTATTTTTGGCAGTTGATCTGAAGTGTTAAAGCACACATTTTTCAATGGAAAAGAAATTAATGTTAAAACAGTTTCAAAATTATGCGATGTTGTAGTATTTTCATTTATTTTCTGATTATCAGAAATATATTTAGTGATAGATTCAGCAAGCATGCACCATAATTCAACAATGAAACAGTCATTTGCTTGACATTCAATTGCTATCTGCATTTGATTAGTCAGAGCTTTTAATAATATTAAGACATTAGGATTATAGATTGTCATATTTTCAGCTTTTATTCCATAACATACGAGAAGTTTTATGTCACTCCAATGTATTTTCTCTATCTTAACCAAAAGTTTGGGTAATAAAATCTTTGTCAATAAATCAATCAATGTTGTATCACGATGCATAAAACTTTCAGGTGCTTTAATAAGTTCTGGAAGAATAATATTTAGTAGTAAATTGCTTATTAATGATGAATCTTCAAGATGATTGATTATCTCTCCAATAACCAAAATCAATTCTTTATTTAGTTTTATTTTTATATCTGAATTCGCTTGTTGAATATATTTCATGAGATTTAGCCACAAAATTTTATTTAAATTTATTTTCTTTTCCTCATTTTGATCTTCTAGATTACTAATAATCAATACGGCTTCTCCGACACTATGTACAAAACTTTTATAATTTTTTTCAAAAAGAGAATTTGTTACTGCATAGGGAATTTTTTCATCCAATACTAAAGATACTTCACGACGTTCTTTCTCATCAACAACTAATAACTGAAGCAATGCGTCTACTGCATACACTCTAGCTTTTATAAATCTTTTTCCTGCAGACGCTAAGTCACACTTGGTGGAGAGTAGTGGTGTTTCTCCTAGTGGTCCAAAACAAAAATTCAAAAATTGAAATATCACTTCATTTGAGAATGTTTCAAGATATGGATACAACTTGACAATCAAATGCCACCACACTTCAAGTTTTGTCACAGCAATGGTCTCTGTTTTGCTATTTTTGGAGTTCAATGGTATACACAATAATTTAATACGCCTTGCCACTACAAAATGCGTTGGGTTAGATGCAAAAATATTAATTAAAGATTTCCATGATATGAAAGCTTGATGACGAATCGTCATGTCGTTCGATTTGAATGCTTTTTCTTCAACAAGAAGTAAATCATTTATTAAATCAGCACCATGGAATAAATCAGCACCAACTATTTCAAGACTGAAACACCACAGATAACACCAGTCTGACTGTTTAGCTTTTACTAATGATAACATTCGAATACAATAATGTTTTTGTAAATCACATTTATATAAATCCAGAGCTTTCTTATGCTGTTCTCGAATATATTCTTCAAAATAAATCCTCACAGCTCTGTTTAGCAATTTAAGAGCAAAAGTTCGTTGTTTTTTGTGACCCATATAAGTAAGAGGTATTACTTTTTCAAAAATAAGCAAGTGAAACTGTAAAAAAAATGTAAGTAAAAAATTTTGATAAGTATGTAAAATCTTTTTCAAAATTATTTTTATACCTGCTCAATATGAAAATTAGAATCGGCTATAGCAAGCCCATAAATTCTTACTAAGTAATCTAAACAATTTAGTACTAATTGATCTTCCAAATCGGTCGGACTTTTTTCTTCAGCTTTCAACAACAACTGGATATCATCAATGCATGCTGATGGTTTTAACCATTCCATTGTTTCTGGAGTGGCAGCTTTTAAACAATCTTCCAAGTACTTTACAGTAAAATAATCCTTTGAGATCCTTAATATAACATCATCATTCAATGTCTTTAAAAATTTGAAAATTTTTAGCCTGTAATTAATAATATTTGATAAATTTTACTATCAAAAAATAGCTAGTAATTATGTTTTATTACCTTTTATTTCTATCAATTTTCGAAATAATTTCGAAAAAATTAATTTCGCATGTCATGTCTTTCAGTATTTTTTCTAAAGCTTGTTCAGCCGTTTGATCACTTTTAAGTAAGTCTTTATTTTTTTTGGAGTCATCATCCTTTATAACAAAGTCGACTAATAATTGACATAATTCGAGATGTTGAGTACTATTCATTGTTTTTAGAAGATTCATTCTCCCAATATCACTATAAAAAAAAACAATTAAACAAACACTGTCAAGAAATATATAAAAAATATTCATACCTATTAATGTAGGTTAGAATTGCAACCGTATCATTTACTGAGTTGTTGCTACGAAGTTTATCCAAGACTTCAATAATATTATATGAAGTCAAAGTCATATTCGTAAAATAATGATTAAAAATTTTTCAACAATGCATTTATTATTCTTGATATAACACTGTGTATATTTGTACTTGTACTGCTCCAAAAATGATTTTTAAAGAATACAAACTTTCAAATATTCCACTTACACTATTTTAATTGCATTCTTTAGAAAATTATAATAGCACGATTTAGTTTCAATGGCGTGATAAATAATTACAAAACGGTTTGCTAAGAACAGTACAATTTGGCGCGTTTTCTATGTAAAGAAGACACGGGTAGACGCGCGGTAATCGATATACGGTTCTCAACTTATGAACACTTCTGAGAATACTGAAATGTGAGTTTACACAAAGATCTATTTATAAACAACTGGTAAGGATAGATGCTGTTTGTAAAAGATTCAAAAACGATTGTAAACAGAGAAGAGAAACGAATATCTCTATTTTTTAATTGTATGGGTTTTCCATTTAGATAACACAAGTGCAATTGTGTGTTTTTTTTTTATCTAGTAATAAAATTAATTCTATTTTGAGGAGCCAGAGGACACACTAGAGTCCCTTTAAGACAGAGTCTGGCACGATAGGGTCAGGCAGGACTAAAGTCACCTAAGTTCTCATGGGACTTTAGGCAGGAATCGAGCAATATGGCGTCGTCTTGCCAGACTCTGTCTTGAGGGACTTTAATATACACTGAGCGACACAAATGGTGTCTGATATTTTTAAAAATGCGCGCCAAGTATTTAGAATAGATTAAATATTAATAAAAAATTAATAAATTTGCATCCTCTTTCTATATTTATCATCTGTATACAGATAAATAATATATTTACAATTCTATGTGTAATTTTGTTTGAAAAAGAACTTACTCAGAATTCTGCGATTCTGTGACGATAGTTTCTCTGTCATTTCGATTTTTTTTTGCCGTGTACATCTGTTGCTCGGTCCTCTTTCTGCTCACACTAAATTTATTGTTCCCTTCGACTCCTTGCTTCTCGTCCCTTCGCTTTTGCCAGTTTTGTGCTGTTTTTTTCATATTCCTTCTCGTCTCTGATTTATTTGTATTGAAAAGGAATTTATGTTTTTTTGGCATTAGTTTCTTTTTGTAAAAATTCTGTACATATATGTCCTGCAATTCTTCAGAAATCGACGTTATGTTATACTCGATTTTCGCTAGTTCATAAAAACGAACTATCGAACCATAAAAATTTCCCTCCACAAAAAGCAGACCTTTGTCCGATATAGATGCTAGAAAATAAACAATGAATTCAGAAATATAGAAAAATTCATTTTCGGTATTTAAATATAAACCATTCTGTTAGATACTTACGGAAGAAACATTTTACCATCCACTTGATACCCATATACTTTACTTGTGACATCGACAGGACGTTCAGTTTCTTCCCTCTGTCATGATACTTTTTTAACACAGTGTCCAGGACATTCTGAACAACTGCATGATTTATTGAGGATGGTAATATTTTCTTTGAAAATATGTCCTCTCGATGTCGCTCAAATTCTATGAAGACATCAGTTTGCAATCTCTGAAGCGAGCAAGGAGGATATACCATTGTTTCAGCTTCAGAACGTTGCTTATCAACGTCTTCAACGATTTCTAGTGCCCACTCATTTAATATATCTTCTAACACGGGAATATTTTTAGAGCGATTTTTTTCCGCTGAGTAAACTGTCACAATTAACTTTTGAATTTGTTCCTTGCTGGCTTTTTTTTCTTTGATGGCAACGTATAACTCCTGATCCTTCGCAATTTCATTCAGAATCATGGCATATTTTACGGGATTGTTTTTCAGCTTCTGATTAGCTTTCTGCAATGAATTTTTTTTCTTTTAAAATACGGAAATTGTAATGTGGAAAATCAGCATGGAAAAAAATAAATACAGAAACATAAACAAAGTTACATGCGCAACTGTAAATATGAAAAATAAATGAAGAAAAAAATGGTGAATCCATTCTATGCCCAAATAACCAATTTAACATACGTTGATTTGGTTAATAGGGTGTATTATTGTGCAATATTAACATTTTGTCAACAAAAAAAAATAGATTAAAATAAAATACGACTTACTAAATGAGGATGTTTCATCGTATCCAAAAAACTAATGTCAATCATTTTTTCAATTAACACTTACAAATATACTTATTCCATCCGATTTTTGTAGTTTTATTTGAAGTTATACATGTGATTTCCTATGTCCTCCAATATCAATTTGAGACAACATTTGTGTGGCGTATTATGGTAGTAGATACATACATTCGGATTTCATAAATTACCACACTGATATTAGGGCAGTGCTGTGTCTCAGTAATAACAAAAATTCCTAAATTATGGTAATTTCTAGTAACATTTTTTTAAATTAATTATCTCTTTAGGATAGACCTACATGAGTAAATATTTCGCGATATGTAGTAATTTTATAAACGTTATTCCATGTCAGCCTTTAACATCATGTGATAGTAATAGCCAATCAAATCAAATGACTCAAATTTTCAATGTGGTGGTCAACATAGAAGCCAGTATATATATACATAGTTTTCTTCAATATGGTTGCTCTCATCGTTTTTATGTAAAAGAAAGGAAAAAACTGGAGGCAAAAAAGAGTTTTGCTAAATTAATAATGAAGCCTCAAATATCAGATTTAAAATCGCATACAAGTGGATCATCAGGAGAAGCTGATGAATCTCTATTCGAATATTTACATGCTGAAATAATGAACTATGTTGTTAGTAAAAATGTTCCAATGAATAAAGTAAGAATAATTAAATCCATAGTAAATGTAATTCAGTTTTATAATTACTTTTATTAACATTTATGTTTAATTTTTTATTTTTGTTAAAGGACGGTGAAGAAAATTTAACACGATTAGAGCACATGGGATTTTATGTTGGATATCGTATTATTGAACGAATAACACGTGAATGGCCACGATTTAAAGAAGAATTGGACATGATCAAATTCATTTGCACTGATTTTTGGCCACCTTTGTTTCAAAAACCAATAGATAATTTGAAAACTAACCACCAAGGTATATATGTATTACAAGATAATGAATTTAGATTGCTCAAAAGACTTGGAAATAATGATAGTAAGCAATATTTATGTGAAAGTCCACGATTAATCGCGTTTACATGTGGATTATTGCGTGGTAGTTTAGCTAATCTTGGTATTGTAAGTATCGTAAAAGCAGAAATGACATCACTACCTAGCTGCAAATTTCATGTTGAAGTACAAAGAGTTTAACTTATTTTGTAAATAAATTTTTTATTATAATAGGAAAATATTTATAAATACAAATAATAATAACAATAACAATCATAATTAAGTTTTAATATTTTTTGGAGAATGAAGATTCCTATAGTGTTCATGTTATTAATTTTTTTTTTATTTTTAATAAGCTTAATATAAACATTTATTTTCACTCGAATACATATGTAATTAATCGTCATTAGTGCTGATAATTTTTAAATGAGATCCATACCCTTTCCGTGATTCAAGCTGTAAGAAAATATCAAACAATAAATTGATAAAAAATGGAATATCTCCATAAAAATATTTATCTTAAATCAAGTTCGTCACAGTTAATTAATAATGTCAAAAATGTTTTTCTGTGTAATAATGCCTATAAATTTATCGTCAGTAACCATTTCTTCGACAATAACAACAAATAATTCTTCTTCAAGAACTTTTACAACCCGTCCGACCGTTGCAGTATTCGGTATTTGATAAAACTGTTTAATCATAACATCATCAATTTTATCAGACCACTGAACTGTGGAATTTAAAATTCCTGATCTAATTGACTGTAAAGTAATGTAGCCTTTAACTTTATTATTATCAACAATTAATAGAAATTCCGTTCCTCCAGCATTGATTTTGTCATATGCCTCTTTGCAAGTAATATTCGATGGCAATGTATCAGGATTAATTATCATATCTTTACTAATTGTATTATTCCACCAATTTTCTTTTCCTTCAGGCGCTGGTAGAGTCTAAAAGAATAACTTATTTATAGAATATGTTCAATGACAACAAATAGAATAAATTATTACATCATTCAATTATTATGACTACTCAAAATAACCATCTGAAGTTTATAAATACAGGAAATCAATTACCATATATCCTCGTGCTACCATCCAAGTATCAGAAACAAATTTAGTCATGTAATTACGAATTCCATCAGGAAGTAAAACAACAACTCTCTTATCAGCGGAAAGACTTTTAGCAAATTTAAGAGCTGACACTACAGCGGAGCCACTGCTACCACCACATAATAGTCCTTCTTCTTTAATTAACTCACGTGCCATATTAAACGATTCAGAATCGCTACATTTAATCCATTCATCAATGACATTATGATCCAACACCGTTGGTATAAAATCATACCTGCCAAAAATATTCAAGACTCAAATGTTATGTAAATTATAATTAAAAATGAAAAATTTAGTTTTTCGAATAAACTTACCCGACACCTTCAACGTCGTAAAACGTTTTCTTAAGATCATCTGTTACAGCTGGCTCAGCTAAAATGCTACCAACTGGATCAATAGCTATTAACTTTGTTTTTGGAGATAATTCCCGAAGTCGACGACCTATTCCAGTAATGGTACCGCCAGTACCTGCACCAGCTACAAAATAATCTATTTTTCCTTCAGTTTGTTGCCAAATTTCTTCAGCAGTTTGATCATAATGTGCCAATGGATTTCCAGAGTTAATATACTAAAAAAACAACGCAATAATACTCTTTAAAGATTCATTATTAGTTAGTCATCAAATAGTTTCTTTCACTAGATATGAATAAATTAACTTGAAGGACAAATTATATATATACACAATATAAGTTGAAAACAATTTGGATATGTTAATAATATTTAATTTTAATATATATTTTATAAGTATTTTAACAATTTTTTTTTTAGTTTGATTGATAATAAGATTGATTAAATATTTGTAACAATTAATATTCATTACTTGGTTCAAAATTATGCTGTTTGGAATCTCACGGCGAAGTCGCTCGGCAACACTGATATGACTTTCAGGACTATCCCATGCAGCTTCTGTTGGAGTTCTTATTATTTCAGCGCCCAAAATTCGTAATGTGTATAATTTTTCATTAGACATTTTTTGAGGCATTACAATTATACATCGATAACCTCGAGCTGCTGCAGCCATAGCCAATCCAATTCCAGTATTTCCACTGGTTGGTTCAATTATTGTATAACCAGGCTTTAAAAATCCTTTTTCCTCAGCATCTTGAATCATTCGATATGCTATACGATCCTTGACGGATCCTCCAGGATTAAGATATTCGCATTTAGCAACTAAAATAGAATATATATAGACGTTTTTAAAAATAATTCAATTTTAAATAAACTTCATTTCAAATACATGAATCTTCATTTATAGATATTTCTTACAAATTTCACATTGTACTCCATGGTTCCGGGGTACTTTGTTAAGTTTCACCATCGGAGTTTGTCCGATAAGCTCCAAAATGTTGGGTTGTACTTTCTTTCTGTCATTGAATCTATAAAAATAAATTAATTTAAAGAGGTCATAAGTGTTAATTTATACAAGAGCAGAAAGAATAGTAATTTTAGCAATTGATTTAATTCCCAAAGAATGTATAATAATTTTTTATTATTCTTTAACAATCATTTGAATATGTATTATTTATTTAATCATAAAAACGACCTACAACGCATGTATTTTAATTTGATAAAACTTACACATTACGACGAATATGTGGATTATTGCCATTGGGTGTCCACGTGCAGCGACTTGGAGCATTGGATGGATGATCTTCCATATTTTTAATTTTTAATTTGACTTTTTATTATAAAAAAAATTTATAAAATATACAAAAAATATGTATTTGAGTTTAAATTGTTAATGTTTTGTTAAAATAAATGTACTTGAATTATTTAATTTTTCGATTGCCAATATGTTTTTATGTATATACGATTAGAACAGCTAAATAAATTCTTGATTGATAACTACTGTGAATTCCTACGGACTACTGAAGTATACATGTGTTGAAGATATTGAATCATGTGGAATAGAGCAACAGCCGCCCTACTGAATCTCCAGTAGCGGAAGAAGGTCAGTCTATAATGTGGTAGGGGCAAATATATGAAAGGGGGGATAACAAGTCAGGTGATGATTCCTTCGAATACTCCAAAAATACTTTTGTATTATTTTGTAATTTAATATTATTTTACTGACGATAAAAAGATTGTTATTTGCAACAAAATGGACAAATTACCAGTGGATGATGAAAAAGAAGACAAAGAGAAAGACAAAAGTATTAAATGGTTTTTTAATTATTCAATATTATGATTGAGGTTAAGTCAAATATTTTATTTATATTTTTTACAAGATAGGCAGTAATTGTCAAGAAGAAGCAAGTTCATCTATGAATAAATCTGACGACGAAGACGGAAATATGGAAAAAATTCGTAAATATCTAGCCCAAAAATTAAAATTAACTGATACCAGTACTGATGAGTCGGACAAGTCTCGAAAAAAAATTTTAAATCGGTTAGACATTGATGGTATTGTTGAATATATAAAAGAAAAAAACTGCAGTAGAATTATTACTATGGCTGGAGCCGGTATTTCAACATGTAAGCTAATATTTTGTTGTTTATATGTCTATTACGTAAGCTTGAGTTTATTTTATTGTCTATAAATATTTTTCATGTATAAATCATTCATTTTCACAAATGTCTACTTTCTAAATTCTCTGTTTCATATTGAAAAAATTTTTTAATTTAAGTAAAATAATGTTTAGTGACAATAGTTATTTTTATTCGTGGTTATGTTTCTTTCAGCTGCAGGAATTCCTGATTTTCGTTCACCATCAAGTGGGCTTTATCACAATTTACAAAAATACAATTTACCACATCCACAGGCAATATTTGAACTAGATTTTTTCAAATCAAATCCAGAACCATTTTTCGTTTTAGCTAAACAATTATTACCAGAAGGTTTTAAGCCTACACCAAGTCATTATTTTATAAGACTCCTTTGGGAAAAAGGATTATTATTAAGACACTATACTCAAAATGTTGATACATTAGAGAGAGTAGCTGGATTATCTCCGGAAAAAATAGTTGAAGCTCATGGAACATTCCATACTGGAAAATGTTTGAAATGTCAAGCAATATATGATCTTCCGTGGATGAAGAGTAAAAGAAAAAACTATATTTTCATTTATAATACATTCTAACTGGTTAAAATTTGATATAATCGTAGTATTCAATCATTTATTTTACAGAAAAAATTATTGAAAATGTTGTACCAAAATGTGAAGAATGTTCAGAAGGCACAGTAAAACCAGATATTGTATTTTTCGGTGAAATGTTACCAGACCGATTTCACAGGTTAATGAACTCTGATTTCCCTCAAGCAGATTTACTAATTATCATGGGATCTAGTTTAGTGGTACAACCATTTGCATCTCTTATTGATCGGTAAAATGTTGGTGATATTTATCATCATTCGTTTAAAGTGGAAACTTTAATTTAAAATTTTTTTTTACAGAGTTAAAAAATCTTGTCCACGATTGCTAATCAACAAAGAAAAAGTAGGAATGCAAGATCATCTAAGCCGATTATTTGGCTTAAATCAAGGCTTTGTATTTGATCCAAAAAATACAGAGACTGCTCGCGATGTTGCTTGGATTGGTGACTGTGATACTGGTTGTCAATTATTAGCTGACAAACTTGGCTGGGGTGTAAGTTGATAGGATATTTAAAAATTATTAATCAACTAATTGGTTCTTTTGTAAAAAAATTTATTTACTTTGTATTAATTCTAGGAAGAATTGAAAAAACTTATTGAGACAGAACATCAACGATTAGATGCTGAGAAAAAGCATAAAATTTAAATTGGTATTGCTTTTAAATTAATATTATATATAATTATTTGATTTAAAATATAATTTTTTTATTTAATAATGAACGGCTTAACACTAACTTCTAGTGCTTCTCGATCGTGAATTTGACCAACACCAACTGCTGGTGTTGCTAATGCTTCTCGTCCGCAATATTTTAACTGAAAAGTAATTTACCTATGTATTTAAATGCAAAAATTTCCAACTAATTTATCAAATATTCCAGTTAATAAAGCTTTACCATGTAAATTGGTAACACTAAATACTTATAAAAATAGAACTTTTTATCAATAGATTTTTTTTTTGACAAAAAAAATTATTATGATTAATATTATTTTGAATTAAAACTATCAAATAAAGTTATAAAACATTTATACATACCCGCTTTCCGCATAAATTTTCAAAACGTGGCTTTATAAAGCTCCAACCCCCCATATTTTGTGGTTCTTCTTGACTCCAAATGAACTGCCGGGCATATCGATATTTATTTAATTCATCATTTAGCTCCATTAGTGGAAATGGGCAAAGACTTTCTACTCTTACAATTGCAGTATTTTGTGATCCTATTATTTCTCTTTGTTTTATTAATTCATAATAATGTTTTCCACTAACTAAAATTACTCTTTCTACTTTCGATTCATCAACTTTATCATCACCAATAACATTTTTGAAACAAGTGCCTGGGGCCATTTCAGTTAATGATGATGTTGCTGATTTATGTCGCAATAAAATTTTTGGTGCGACAATCACCAATGGTTTTCGGAAATTTCTTACCATCTGAAATATTTTATGAACATTATTAGTCTAATTATTTATTAATTTAATTTGAAATAAAATATAAAAGGAGTAAAAACCTGTCTTCGGAGAACATGAAAATATTGAGCCGGTGTAGTAGGATTAACCACCTGAATATTAACATTATCACCATCAGGGGCATCTTCTTTGCTGTCAGTTAGTTGTAAAAATCTTTCGATTCTACACGAACTATGTTCTGGACCAGCTCCGTCATATCCATGTGGTAACAATATTGTTAATCCACTGCAAAGCATCCATTTAGTTTCCCCACCAGTTACAAATGTATCTATAACAACTTGTGCTCCATTAAAAAAGTCGCCAAATTGAGCCTCCCAAATAGTCAAAGTCGAAGGTGTAGCTATACTGAATCCATACTCATAACCGAGTACTGCTTCTTCTGATAAAATGCTATTAGCTAATTCTATTTGACCAGTTTGTCCTTCTGCCATTGAATTTAATGGAATATGAATTTCTGAAATACCATGATTAAAATAAAATAGTCATTTTAAAATGATGCCATCATATGCCAAAATTTAAATCGTTAATTAATACAGTAAAAATACAAAATTATGTAATTTGTTAAATTTAATTATTCTATAAATTTTTACCTCCTGTTGATTGGTCAACAATCATAGCATGACGATGAGAGAATGTGCCCCGTCCCACATCTTGACCACTAACTCTTACATTATATCCTTGATATAATAAACTTCCAAAAGCTGCTGTTTCAGCAGTTGCCCAATCTAAATGTTCTCCACTTTCCAATTTATTTAATCTTGCTTGAACATGACTTTTCAATAAACTTGGATGAATTTTCTGTTTATAAAAAAAGGAAAAAAAAATTATATAAATATATGACAATTTCATCAAAGAAAAGCCATTTCTTTTAAATTTACCGAGTTATCCTTTAATGTGACACTTTTATTGATAATATAATGCAATAAACTTAAGTCTACTCCAGTGTCCCAAGTAGTAAGAGTCGATTGGGCTTGCTGGAATCCTTCCCACTGATGAGTAAAATATGATGGTTGAGGAATATAATTATCTACTTGTTTTAGAGCATTTATTAGAGAAGCATGATATTCTGATATGATTTGCTCATTTTCTTGTTTATTTACAATATATCTAGACTCTAATTTTTCACGATATCGATCGGGAACTGATCTAGAAATAATAAAAAAATAATAATAGCTCAATAGATTATTTTCTTTCATAATTTACCTTCGATCATTAATAATTTTATACATCAATGGATTAGTTAATGATGGTTCATCCATTTCATTATGGCCCCATCGTCTGAAGCAATTCATATCAACGAAAACATCTTTTCTAAATTTTCTTTGATATTCGAATGCTATTCTAGTTGCTTTAATCACTTCCTAAATAAAAAAATATAATTATAGATATATACATAAATAAATCTATCTATTTGCTAGTTTTTTTCTTACAAAATTATTTCAATTACTTCAGGTTCATCTCCATTTACGTGAAGTACTGGTGCGCTTATTGATTTCGCTAAATCTGTACAATACCTTGAAGATCTTCCCCATGAAGCTGGAGTAGTAAAGCCTAGTTGATTATTTACTATAAAATGAATACTTCCACCAATAGTGAAATGAGGAACTGCACTAAGGGCTGAACATTCTTGATTCACACCTTGTCCAGCATAAGCTGCATCTCCATGAATCTAATAAAAATTATTTTGTTAAGTAAGATAATATTACAGTTTTAGATCAATTTTATTAATACTTGATAAGACGAATACTTGAAGATTGATGACTTTATCGCTCCAATATGATTTTTGATCTTTAGAATATCCTCCTTCTTGAATTGTTTGCATTACTGCTCGCGTTTTTCCCATAGATATTGGATTTACAGCTTCTAAATGACTTGGGTTTGGGATCATCGTAACATGAACTTTTTTTCCATTAAATTCGAGATCTTCAGACGCAACGAAATGACTTGGTATATCACCAATTGCTTTTACGTCTTCGGGAAATTCTGGAAGCCCACGGTATTTCCGGAAGAGTTTTTCTGGTGGAAACTTTAATAATCCCGTGAGTACAGCAAGTCTTCCTCGATGTGGCATACACATAACAACATTTTCCAGATTATGTTCAGCACATTTTTGAAAGAATTCATATAAAAATGCTATCATTGATTCGGCTCCAGCGCCACTGTATCTTTTTATAGTAACAAATTTTACAGCCAAAAATTCATCAAATACTTGGCTCTTTAACATTTCTTTTAGAACTGATTTTTGTGTTTTATCATCCACAGTATTATTATTTGCATTTTCCAATTGCTCAGCAAACCATTCTCGTTCTTCTTGTGTCTGTATTGTTAAAAGAATTCTTATTATAGTTGTTATAAGGAAAAAATCTTTTAAATTACTATAAACATATATAGAACAATTTGTTTTTCTCATAATATTAAACAAAATATTGATATAATTTAATCTTATCAATTATCACTGAGACTTGATGAAACGTTTTTTAAGTAATTCGCTTACCTCGAGGTAAGTGAACTCTGCGCCGATAAATTTACAATAAACATTATTTAAAATGTCTAATGCTTCTTCAACTGTTCCTTTAGTTTTCGATGTGTTTAATAGTCCTTTAAATTCTATAATATCTTTTAAATCTAGTCCATATCGTTGTGGATCTAGTTCTATGAGTTTCGATGGACTTGACAAGGCAACAGGATCTATGTTAGCTTGTTTATGAGCATGTTCTCGGTATGCAGTTACTAGTCTATAAAAGTTACTGAACTTGTTTCGATTTTCTAAAACATCTTGAAGAGCTAACAAAAAAATAATTAAATTTGAATAAATACAGTAACTAAAGATTATATTCAAGAGTACTATTTTATTTTGTTAAAGACTAAAATCAAATCTGTAAGTTTTAATTAACTAGGAGTGTTATCAATCATTTAAAGTCAAAAACAAATAACTAAAATATTAAATTATTCTTTAATATGAATTTAAAGTTTTGCTTACCATCATAATAATGAGCTTTTTTTAATTTACATCCATAGATACCATCTTGAGTGTAATAATTACGATTACTAATCTGTTTGAATTTACTTAATTTTTTTTGTATACAAAATGAAATTAAGTTACGATTCATAGCGAGTTTAATAATTTTAACAAAAAATTCTTTCATAAATAGCAATCATTTCTCATGAAAGTTCAAGCCTTAACTAAATATATCATTCACTTTCTTTCCCCTCTTTTATTCGTGTTTATTATTATCATTATTGTCATTATCATCTTTATTATTCATCCGAACTTTGTACATGAGAATTTCTCCACATGCTGTTAGTTTTTTACTTAAACTTGTCAACTTTGGAAACGGAAAATAAAGAAAGAAATATTATCATATATTTATCATATCATAGATAATTATCATGTATTATCGTGTCATAGATTATAATCATTTTATCGATAGCTTTTCCAATTAATGACTCAATTTTAAAATGATTAAAGATAAAATTTATGTTTAACATTTTTTTCAATTTATATTAATTAAAGTAATAGTTTTATATCTCTGGATAAGCTGATCCAATCAATTCTTTCCCTCGATATTTAAATTTGTAGGTCTGAATATTGAATTTTGTGCCACCAAGTGATACAGGACATGAACTATCAGGTCGTGCAAAATAACAAACAGTATATAGTGCCATTTCTAGCTCTGGCGAAGTTCCAATAAACATTGTTGTGACTGGTTTATCAACTCCATTAAATTTTGCATGTAACTTTAAGATAACAGCATTCTGAAAAAAAAAATTATAAATATTGTTTAAAATTCAATCATTCTATTCATACTTATTTTAATTATGATAAGAATTTGAAAATTTTATCAATTGTGGAAAATAGTCTTAAACTCACCTCTCCAAGATCTACTTTTTTAATGTAACCAAGATAATCAGCCCTTTTTTTAACTTCTTCGGCATTAAAATAAATCCAGTTATGCAGTCCACTCACTTCTGTTCCTAATTTTACTTCTGTCAAGAAAACATGCTCAAATCCTGTAGAACCTATTTTACCTTCCCCTCGCGAATAAAGATTGAACCACAGTCGTCTTAAAGTGTCCTTATATTCATAATAATCCTTACGAACGAAGCCTTTATCTGCTAAAAATCTCATCGCCATAGACATAACATTTGTACTTAAAAATGTGTCGACTAAAAGACTTTCCTCTTCTCTTTGAGATGGACTAATATATTCATGAACTTTTGGATCCAGTTGATAATTATCATAAATTGCAATAACTCTTTGGATAGTAGGAATTTGTAATGCAACTGAATTTACGGTCAAAAGTCTGTAAAAAATAAAAATTCATTTCATTATAAAATGTATATGTATATTATATTTTATTTACGGTTCCGGAGCTTCATCTTTAGAACTGCTAGATGATGTCTGTTTTTGAAGATTCAATTGAATATGTTTAAAAGCATTATTGGAATCTTTAATAAAAAGAGCCTCTGATAATTTTTCTAAATCTTCATCAGTAACTGTATTTCCCTTGCTAAACGTTGGATTGCTTGAGTAAATTTTATTTTGTCCTGAATTTGGTCTAGGAGTTGTAGTAGACGAAGGTGATTTTGATCCTCCAGCTACTTGAGCCCAAGATTTACCACCGGATGAAATCGGAGTCTGTATTATAACAGGTTTGGGATTATTTTGAGTTGAATCAGCGGGTCTACTTGGGATTGGAGTAGATTTAGTAGTAGTAGATGCAACAATTGGAGATCTGTTATGTATTGAATTTTGAGTAGTAGCTAATCTCGGAGTTGTTTCAGTTACTTTGACTTGAGGAAATGATGTAACTGGTTTATTGCCTTTAAATTATAATATTTAAAATTAATTTCCAAATTTTTGACATGAAGCAAAGTATTTATTAACATATGTACTTGGAAGAGTTGGCTGAGATGAATGCCCTGAAGATAATGTAGGCCCTGTAGTCGTTAATTTAGGAAGCTGATTTGAGTTTTGCTCTCCAGCTCCTGTTAAATCTACAGCCCATTCTCTGTAACCTTGTCCAGGATGAGTATTAATACCAGCAGGATTGGGTTTTGGACCAGAAATATCCAAGCCTACTTCTGTACCAGGATTAGGTTGTCTGGGTCGTGTGCGATCTGGGTTTCCTGGATTAGTTATTGGACTGTTACCATTAGGAGAATTTGAGCCTATTTGAACTGAAGGTACTTGTGTGCTTGGTGCAACTGTCGTTGTCGTTGTTGTAGTTTTACTTTTCCAAAATTTTAAATTCCAGTCAGCGTGTGCATTATCTACATATGACAAAATTATCATTGAATATTATTACATACATACAATAATCCTTTTATATAAAAGTATGAAGGGTTATCAACATAATTTTTTGACCTTTTCGATCAAAGTTTCAACAAATGGTCAAAGATAACTAACATGATGATCCATATTGATTATGTCCAAATATAAATTATTTATTTGATTTAACACAAATTATATAATAAAAATATGCAGGATTTTTTGAGAAGAAAGTTTTAACATATCGTTATAATATAATATCATATCTTTCAAGATGTTTAAATAATTGCAACTTCTCTTTCGTAATATTTAAATTTTATGAAACAATCGTTCTTTAAATGCATAACCTTTATTTACTTAAATTTAAAACAAGCAATAAAAATATTTTACAGAAGAAATTTTTTATAAAAATACTTTTTTCAAAAATTGTAATTACCAATTATTGTAAACAAAACCACTAAACAAACAAAAAATAACGTTTTAGACGCCATATTATTGTGTCAAACTTATTCTGGAAAATCTGTGTATGATGTATAGATCGCTATTATTGAACTGTACATCCGACTTCTTAAGAACGACTAAAAGCCTTGAATGAAGCATGTAGAAATAAAGAATGTTAACTATCATTCGAATAACTTTAAAACGTTCTCATGTATCTCTTTTCTTATTGGTTCTTACAACATGATGACGACAAAAGTTAAAATATCAAGGGTATTTATAGTAAAATAATAACTATAAATTATCTTACTGTATATTTTATTGTAAAAAAATATTAGCTTTTCAGTTAAAAGTTATTTTAATATTATTTTCAATTCTTTATATATACAATGATATTTGAGATTTTAATATAATTAAATTAAATTAATTATTACAAAATAGATGATTGCCCATAATATAAAGAGAATAATTAATGCTACTATGGCATTTGAACGAAAACTATCCCAACCAATCAAAGTCAGCCTTTGTCTTAGTGGAATACTGTCAGTGTACGTCAACTATTCGGAAATTTATGAAAAAAAACATTTAACAAGTTTCCAATTAATGGATTATAAAATAATTATAATAAATTAAAAATGATTACAGTCAATTGTGAAAAAGCTTCCTCATCTTCACTGATTATATTTGATTTTTTACTAGTAATTTGTTGATTTAATTCACTAGTCAATTCCTCATTATCAATAACAGCTACCCCTGATGATGTCGATGTTTCTGATGAGGTATAAACAGCATATCTTTCTCTATAATCAATAATAATGGTAGATGTCTTTTGAGTAGGAACATCCCGTGAAGCTGCCACGATTTTATCTATAAAGGAACACAGCTAATTATAATTTTATTTTCTTCCAATTTTCATGGTGTTAAAGTTTCAATACTTACTATTTTTTAATTCATTCAATACTTTTCAAATATAAATAAAAAATCTATGGCATATAAATAAACATATTTTATATATCTTCAATTGTTTAAAAAAAATGAATACTCTTTTGGTAATTATTATTTTTTACTACTTTTGTCTAATAGTAAAATAATCAATTCTGGCATGTTTTTTATGAATCTCAATTATTGACCTTAGTGGATCAATTTATTATAATGAATAAATAAATTTGATGAAATAATTTAGAATTATGGTGGATTTGTGAGTAATATTTAAATTATTTGATAATTGGATAAGAGTGAATAAACAATAATCCATGTAAAAAAAGCAATGACAACGATAATAAGAAAAATTGTCTTCCATAAATGCCAAGGATTTTCAGTTCGTAATCGATGTGGATCCAAAAGTTTTTTGCACCCAGTATTTTTGCATGGTATTGTCACACTATTATCATTGACATATGATGAAGTAGATGGATTTTCTGATGGCCTTTTTATTATTTCACCAAGTTCTGTAGCACTTTTCGATTCAAATTTTTGTTTTGATCGATCTAAAATTATCGGTGCGTCCATCTGAAAAATTATAAATATTTATTAATAATAAACGTAAGCTTGGGAATAAAACATGTCAAAATATTATTTTACTGTGTATTTATTTAAAAATTTTATTATTTTTTTAAAAAATTAGTTGACTTTTATAATGATAGAATGATCATTAATACTAGTTTTATAAATGCATGCTAAAATTAATCATTGATAATTTACATTCTAAATTCTATTTTTTGAGTAATGATTTTTTTAAAATATATATTTAGAAAATTTATAAAATAAAAAGAATTATTGAGGATAACACCTTTCTCGTGAAATAAATGTCAGTAAATAAAATGAACAAAAGTAGGGGAAAATGTAGGATAGTTACGTGAGTATTAAGAATTCCATTATGCATTGTTGGTGGGGAAAAAGTCACGTTTATCTCCATTATAAATGTTGATTTGTAAATTATGATTTTGTGATATGTACGGTAGAATTTAAAGACCATTTACTTTTACGAAGACATTCACAAACGATTTGTTATCTGTGGATCTTTTCTTCTCTAATTAAAACTACTTTATCAAAATTATATTTATTATTCATTTATTCTATATATAGGTACTATTTTTTAAAATTGAAAAAAAAGAGTAAAAACTACACGTCAAATTCACACGATTGTCAGTTGCTCACTGATATGTAGTTTTAGACTGTTCCAAACTCGACAATTATCGCTATCAGTTCTGACCCTCGATCCTCATTATCTTACCCCTCTCATGACTTTTAAAATTGTTCAAATTATTTCTATTAAATGCATCAGTTTTCTACCGATTTTATGACAGGAAAAAAAATAAGTACTACAAATGAACGCTGATTATGTTTAATCGATTTTTGAAGGTCGAAGTAAGTCATTAAAAAATGCAATTTGCAATTCAATCAAGATTAAATACGATAAACAAATAAACTGAGTTGTTATCGACGAAGAAAAAGCAAAGAATTTTGAGTGAAAGTTATTTAAGAGATCAGAAATAAGGGTCATCGACTTATTTACTATGAAATTACGAAAGAAAATTGATGATAGAGTAAAAAGGCTTAGACTCTGTCTTGTAAAACATTCCAACAAATATTGACGAAATTTTACAAGAATAAAAGAGATATAATTTTTTTACAATTAAAACATTTTTTTAATATCATTTTCTCGTATGATTTTGTTTACTGACTTTTTTTTTCTCACCTGTTGCGGCTGCCATGTATGTTTAAAAAATATTTTAAAACACTTCATACTATTTTACAAAAAATACTCTATACTAGTTATAACTAATTTTATTGAATGAAAGTAAATTTACTATTTGATGTATAATAATTAGTTGTAAATAGCTCATAACTATGAGACCAATGATGTTTTCTCTTCGCTTTTTTCTTAACTACTGAAATAAATCGTTTAAAGCGTATTGGAAAGTTATATGTATATTTGTACATAAAAATAAAGGAATCTTTGATGAGTTATGATTGGCGGGAAATTTAAACTGGAAATTAGACTTTTAATCAAATTCATTTGTTTTTAAATTTATTATGTAAATATTTAAGAACAAAAATATGTTCTGATATTGATGTCTATGATTTATCGAAATCAAATTACCCAAAACATTATATATTTTTTTTAATGTAATGAATCATTTCCCATATGATTTATCTTATCTGTTGATTACTTGTGATTAAAAGTACTTGACTTAAAAAGCACTATAACTGATATATTATTAAATAATTTGAATTTTATATAGTTCATCACTCACTTTATGATAATGAATAAATCATACAATAATACTTTTTGCCTCTTATCTTTTACTCATTAAAAGATTGTATTTTATTATTTTTTAACGGAAAAATCGGAAAAAGTTGAAATTGCGATTTCTTGTTCGTTTTTAAATTCAGCTCTATCAATACTTGATTCAGGACTTCCAGTTGTTTCAAGCCATTGTTTCCTATACATTATAGTTAAAATTATTTATAATTTTAAGTAAATTTGTATTTAATAATTTATAAAATAAGAAAATAAGAAATATTTACATCTCATGAACATTAGATGATTGTCCTTCTATGTGACCAATAACTGTTCCATGTTTTGTATTCATACACCATCCTTTCAAATCCAATTCTTTAGCTTTTTTTTGTGTGTACTTCAATAATGTGTTTACATAAAAAAAATGTACAACTATCAATTAACAGATAATACAAATGAATAATATTACTTTACATGAGTAAGACTTATCATTTATAGAATACATACAATTTTTTTAAAAATTAATTACCAAAGTATATTATCATCTCATTTCATTCATTGAATTGATTACGTTTTATCTTACTCACCTTTCTAAAGAATACACCTTTAAAAGATTAAAAATAAAAATAATACATAATTATAAATATATTTAAATATAATGTTCATTTTATTAGTATTTTTGGTTACCTTGGACTCGTCCAAATACTTCAAAATCTAACCCTATCAACTTGGACATATTTTTCTGTTCCCTTTATGAATTTACGAATGACAAATTCTAGATAATTGATAGATAATATTGGTTATCAATCTTTACTGTTCTTGAAATTTTATTTTATTGTTAATGTCATTTTCATGATTAACTTCAAATTGTGTTAATATCAAAATAAATTTTGGTTTCTAAAAAATGTTTGATATGTATATATAGAAACTTTGATTGAATACCACAAAATAAATATCATAGATGTTCCACATGCATAAAACATATATTTAAATATTCGCGGTTCAGTTCTAGATGGCAGCAAAACAGATGTCTTATCCCACTCCCAAAATTTAATCAAAATCCTTTCACACAACTTGTCAGTAATTCATAGGTTCTCTTGGTTCTCTCTTTGATTACTTGAATTGCTTTAGTGTCGACACAAATTGAGATCATAGTGGATGTGATTCTGTAGTTGGAATTTTAATTAAAAATTTTTCAATATAATCAACAAAAACTTTTAATTAATGAATGATTACAATATGAAAAATAAATGTGTATAAGTTGTCAAAGATATGAGATTTAAATGTCTAAATTTTTAAAGTTAAAGATAACCAAGTATTGGTTTAACCTAAAAATTTTTGATCAAAAGTTTGAATAATAAAAAGATAAATAAAAAAAAAATAAAATTATATTGTCGAGGATTCTCGACAATCATTCGAAAGTGGAATGAATTTTAGTACCTTTTATTTGTCCCTAAGGGACTGGAAGTAAAATTGGAGTATAAAATTGATTAATTACATGAAAATTTATTGTTTTTTTTTTTTAAAAGAATTATAAAAAATTTTATTGTAATATATAAATTTAGTGACGCGCCTTTTTAGTAATATTGTGGCGCGTTGTGAAACATCAAAACGCGAGTGTGATACACGACATTAGTGAAACAATAATGACGACGATGCTGGTATTTGTTTCTGAACTATCTAATATTTTCACCGTTCTTGTGGTATTAATATGTTTTTGTGCAGTTGTATTATTTATTATGAGGTTAGTATTTGATTTGTATTCATACTACGTACAATAACAAGATAAAATATTATCACTAATGAATTTTTGTGTAGATAGTATCACGGAAATAATTGCGTAAAATATCTTTTTTAAAAATACCACTTCTGAAAAGTAAAGTTATTTATTAAAAAAAAATAAACAAAAAACACGTGTGTTTGATTCACGTGTAAGTTATTTTATTCTTATATGATTTATTTTTTACATTTTATTTTTTTTATAATTAATTTCACAACAATGGAGCAATAAAGGGAAAGGAAAAAAATTCACGAAACTTTTTAAATCAGTACAATTGCATCACTTGAAGTTTAATCAGAAAAAAATTGTTTCTATTTTTTATTTTATGTATGTATCATATATGACGCAATATGGCGTCTCACATACACTCGTTAGACCTCGTTTTCTATCCAAGAAGTTTCCTGTAAGACTACGACCTCAAGGAAAATTACTTACGTGTCTCTGACTCTTGCCAAATCATACAAATGTACCTGAGTTCATGGGGAGTCATTTATTTTGATAAATTAATAGTTTACTCAATAACAAAAATAGACTTATAATCAGCAGTTTTTTATTGCAAGTATTATATATTCAACTTTAATTATTCAAAATTTGTTTTCATTATCGTTTAAATAATATTCTTTTTATTTTTCGTAATCTTAATACTCATACAGAAAAATCTTTTAATTATTTAATTATTCTTGACATTGATAGTTGATAAATTAAAGTAATCTTTAATAAATTATATTATTAATACGAAGCATTAATTTTTTAGAAATACAATGGTCCTCCGAGTGCATGGAGATGACCTTATGTTTGGAGGTAACGGTGGGGTCATGACTCATTCACCTCGAATACCACAAATGAAGATGATGAAGGTTCATATACCATTTACATTCAAGTTACATGAAAGCTCACGTAGTACGTATGCCGGTAAGTACTTGAAGATAGTTAAAAAAGAAATGCTTTAAAAAAAATCTTAGTACTTTATTTTTATCGAAATTCTATAACATGATATTTGGTAAAATGTATTGAAAAGTGAATAATTCAGAAATGGAAAGATTAATAATTATAATTGATTATGAAGTTCTGGACGAAAAGGTGATAATAAGGTAAAACACGTTGATGTGAATCGTCAAGGTTTTGATTTCATTACTTATGACCGTCATCTTGTATTGCATACAAATTATAATGAACTATTTTGTAACTTTTTTACTAAATACAACATTGTATAGAGTACATTGAATTGATATCGAAAATTTACGTGAAACTGTCAAGTTCAAAATTTTTAACACGATATTTCTATTAATAAGTTCATTATTTTTACAATAAAATAAATACATTTTAAAAAGTTGTAAAATCGTTGATTATTTTTGAAAAATCTGAAATGTTTATATCTGTTAAATAATTTTTATTTAACGAGCTAAATTGATGCAGTACCACGTTTTATAGTCTAGTTGAATGTTTAATTATAAATGTCATTAAAATGTCATCAACATTTTATCTATTCATTCATAAAAAGAAAAATTGAGTAAAAATTACCCTGCAATTCAGAGCAATTTGAATACTGGGTTGAAAGAGAGGAACTTGTACAAAACAGAAAAAAAAATTAAACTACCCTGTAGGGTAAATTTTACTCTTTAAAAATCTTCATATTATAAAATTAAAATAAAAAATTATTATTGGTAAACCGTTTATTGTGTAAATTAAAAATTAAAGTAAATGTTATTTTTGAGAATTATTTCAATTGCAAATTGTGACAATAAAAGTGATATAAAAAATCAAGTACTTGAACTGTAATTGATTAAAAATTGCTTTACTAATGAATTAACTTCTTTATATGTAAATCAATTCAATAGTAATTGATCAATCGCTACATTGCAAATTGATTATGATAACTCATCATTAAATTCATTCATCACAGTAATTGCCTATGAAATATACACTTTTTTGTATTATAACAGAAAATTATGAAAAAAAATTTTTATTTCCCAAAAAAGATGAATGAAGTGTATTGATTTGCTAAAATTTCAGGAATTTATAAAAAAAAAATTAGGTAGGGATTTTGAATAATTGAAAGATAATTCAAATACGGTAGTGAATGTTGAAATGACACCTGACAGTCAAAGATACATTACGAAATGACTTTATCACGTGTAGTGTGTGAATACGTTGATAAAAATCTAAAAATGCATTTTATATTATATGTATCGAAGAATACATATTTGCAGAGCCATTTAGTCTAACAGTTTTTTCATACTGTAATAAAAAAAAAAATCTAATAAATGCATTCAATATTTCGTGATAAAAGTATTTTTTCACACATTTTAGATAATTGATAGATAAGTGAGTATCAATTAACAATGACGTTTGATAGACATAGCGATGATTAATTTCTTCTCTATCATTAAATTAGTCGTCTAGAATTTATATTTAATCAGTGCGTTTCTTCAGTTGGAACCAGTTTAATGTTATTGATGAAGAACTACCTTGACAACATGACCTTGATTGTACACGTGGTGATTTCTAAAGTAAAAAATGCTTCTTTTTCCAGTTATAAAACATCTATGACAAAATTTTTTTAAGACACTACAAAAAACTATACACTCAAATTTATCTAAATTAGTCATTCAGTAGAGAATATCATTCAATCATTTATTCCAAATATATTTAAATGTTTAAAAAATCAAAATATGATATATGTATCTTTAGCAAGTTGTTGTCAAAAATATTGTAAGTAACTCACATGAATAATCTAAGAATCAAATATTAAATAAAAATGTCATAAAGTATATTAAAAATTCCATTAATAATTGTATGGGCCATTAACTAAATTACCTACCTTCCAATCTATTACGTGATAGATATAAAAGTTAACAGAATGTTTACATAAGTTAACTTAAACAATCATATAAAGAGAAGGACTTAATCTATTTTATGAAACTTTCTCAATAAAATTTAATATATACACAATTATAAATAACGGAAGTAGGTAAAATGATGTCGTACGTATAGTTCAATTAACAATAAATCAGGGACAATGGTGACTGGTTGCTTCGATGAATAGCTTAATCATCAAGTATTCAATAGCAGATGAGTGCATTTCACTTTATATGTTCTCTATCATCACAATTGGACTTGGTACTACTCATCCTGGTGGCGTTGACCCCAATAACCTACTTGTCAAGCTTTATTATTAATAATATCAATAAATATCAATTACTTTTAACTTCAAAAATGACTGCTCGTCCTGTTTACTTTTTTTTAATCAATTTTAGATAAATATTCATATTCAAAAATTATTCATACAAAATAGCTAATAGATATTTTATAGAAATATCTGATAGAAATTTTTTGTTGATTCCAATTTGGTAATTGGAAAAAATTTTCTCTGAATGATGAGAATTTTCAGAAAGTTGGAAAGATGTTATTGTTGCAATTATGAATTACAAAATATAAATGGAACATTTGGAAATTTCACAAGTAAATCTAATAAATAATCTACTTCAATTGTAGTTATCACAATATTTAATTTTTTAATTTAAATACCTGAATCTATAAGCTGTTTTAATACTTTAATTTAATTTTCCTTTAATTTTATTATGAATGCCATCTTTTGATAATCGCTATCGTATTGCAGTATATTCAATGAAAAAAAAACTACATTATTTTCATTTCAAAAATACTTTTTCACATTGCGTGAACATTTCTTTATTGATTTCAATGCTCTTGAGATAATTGCGTCATTAATTTCTTGTAGTTGAACAAGGTGGTGATTTCATTTTTAAATTCTAATGAGTGACCGTTGCTACTATAAAGAATAAAAGTGTATTAAACATGTAGCTATTAAAATTCATATTCAAATCTTCTACATTAATTTTCCTTTACATCAATACAGTAGAATTGTGTGAAAAAAAAGTCATTTATTGCAAATTGCAGAAAATTAAAAATGGAATATTCATTATTGAGTAATAGACTAATTTTAAAATTGAATAATTACCTATAAATATTTATTTTTAGCTGAATATTTTGAAAATAAATTCAAGGATATATTTTCAGACAATAACCTGTAGTGATGGCGAGTTTTCTTAATCTTGCACTTGGCGACCTTGATCACAGATTTTCTGCTTAGCAGAGTCATGTAGGCTCTTACAATTTGCATTTATTGTAAAATTTTTATGAAAAATTTTCTATTGATATCAAGTATTTGTAGAATAATTTATAAATTTCAGAGACAATCATTCAAATATATATGCATTTAAATATTAAATGATGATAAATTCATAAAATACATTCTATAAGATGATGATTATTTCTATTCTTCAATATAATAATTGCGTCTCCTGGTTAGCCTTGTAAATTCTACGTGTGTCGAAATTTAATCTGTTAAAGACCAGACAATATTTATAGTTTGTAATTTGAATTTCGCAAAAGTTATAAAATAAAATAAAAAACTTGAGTCGGTAACTGGCACAAGGTCTTATTGGTCATAAGTATAATTATGTGGTTATTTTCAACTGTTTTATCTTTTAGCTCTCATTGACAATTTTGTAAGTGAAATACTGAGAGTAATAAGCAAGTTTCTTTCCCTTTCTCAAATTTTCATGTGCCTGGTCAGTGGTTGTCGTAACCACTAGTGGTCGATTCCAGTCTTAAGTCTTTACTCGACTGTCTATATAGCAAATAAGCGGTTATATTACGCAATGAGGATTTGATAATCGGTTAAGTTGAAGCAGCCGTTACATTTTCAGGACGTAAGAGTTCAAAATTTTTATCTTGTTGAATTATAAGAATTATTGATTGAATATTCTAAAAAAAAAAATTTTCATGTAATTTAATCAATTTTATTTATTCTTTTTAATTCAATTATTTTACAATATTTTTTCTTTAAATCATTTTTTTTTTTTTTCGTTTTCGTTTTTAATTAAATAAAAATATCTTTTATTATTGACAAATATGTGATAGATTCATAAAATATGTAGCTTTAAATTCTTTATTAGTTATAAAAAAAAAAAAATATTCATGATTCAGGAATAGATTGATGATAGAAGAGTGTATGATCTTAGCTTGAAGCAATAAGTTGGTCCGATGCTGCAGCTTTCACTTTCGTTCGTTCTAAACCACGAACAATCACTGCTCAATAAGCTCATTGCATCCAGTGTTATCGTTCTGTTATGGCTGCAAAAATATTTATAAACTTAATCGATATAACGTATGACTATTTCTAACTATTCATAACAATATTAGTACACCTATTCATTTTCTAATTGAAAAAATTTTTACATATAACAATAAAGATATATTGTTTTGATCATATAATTATATTATTTTTTAAACTTTAATAAAGTTAATTATCATATTGGATTTAAAAACATCAAAATAAAAAAAAAGGAAACTATTCCAGATATTATTTTTTCTTTTATTACAGAAGTTGAGTGTGAAATATCGAGTCAAGTGGAATATTCTTTACAAGCAATATGGGGAGTGAGTATCAGGGAGCTCCATTTGGCACTTTGGAAGCCATGGAATGCTCTACGGGATGCGTCACTAAACGGGACTCTTCTACAAGGCCATGCACAATATTTAACACCGCCACAAACGTATCCTTATCCAATTATCATAAAAAATTAGCATTTTATTTTAAGATTTTAGCAAGATGATGATGAAAAATTGAGGTTTAACTAAAGGCTGTTGAACCATTTATATTTTTTAACTCTTTTTTTTTTTTTTTATTTTTATATTCATGAAGATGATGATCCTTAACTCAAGACTATAGTAGGCAACCCCATGGAGAAGAAACACTTAGGTTATCATTACCAGCACCAGAACTGGAATTAGGCACTCCGCCAAGATTGTGTTATCCTTTGGTCATTTTTTTGACACGTAAAGACAATCGAGATCCTCATCCTGATGAGACTGTGAGTAAATTTACATTTTAATGAAGAACACGGAAAACCACTTTTACAAAAAATAATGTCTTCGTTTCAATCGATTTTTTCTTTCTTTATAACTGAGTCATTAATTATGATAAAAACTTGTGAGTTTTACATGAGATTTTATATGATAGAAGTAATTAGCAAGAAATTCATAATTATTCATTTAAATTATCACTACAATGTAAATTGATAATCTTTACAGATCAATAATACGAACAATTAAAAATTTTCATACTCTACTGTATAATATATGAAATAGTAAATGATCATATTTATATTGTAATAGTATCTGAATATACAACTAACTGTATATTCTAGAATCTACTAGATAATGTTTAAGCTTAAACTATTACTGTGGCTTTTTCCGTATAAGATTGCTAGAGAATTATGTCATACGTCGTTAATTATGATTTTTATGGCACAAATAAATAATTATTCATTCTTTAAAAAACAGGTTGCTTTGGTGAATGTAGTTCACATAAAAGATAGTGTCTGTACACTACCGACCTCAATTTTGGCTCAATATCTCAAGCAAGCAAATGGTCAGCTGTCCTGCCTGAAGGTAAGACCTTGTACCGCATTTATTACATCATCATGAAAGTCCTCATACCCTCATTCATATTTTAAAAAAATATTATTCTACTATGAAAAATGTTAAAATTTTATTTAAAATAAAATTGTATTTCAGCAATTATACTTGGCAACAGGAAATTCAACGAGTTATGATGAAGGTGATGTTTCTACAGGCTTGGGTCCTGCTTTAGCTCTTGCTGAACCTTGTAATAATAATGGAGCAACCAGTAGAGGTGCACTAGTAGCTTCAGGTGCAGGCGACTCTGAAGGATCACTTTGGAACTCTGCTGGTGAACAACTTTGTGTTGTTTGCCAATATTTTCCCCTTTCGAGGGCTTTACTTCCTTGTAGACATACTTGTATCTGTGCTTCTTGTTTTGGGAAATTAGACAGATGCCCAATGTGTCGTAGTCCAATAAAAAGTTACTTTTGTATTAGAGGGGAAGAATATATGCCAACTGAAAATGACATGAATCCGTGTAAACAAAGACAAGCCACACATGGACCTTCTCATTGGCTTCATGACTGGAATGACAGACTTACAGATTTTTTAGGTTTTGCACGATAAATTTTTTATTACTATAATTATTATGATTATTACTATTATTGATATCATTATCATTATCATAATTATTTTAATTAATTTTTATTATCGGTAAATAATTTTGTAAAAATATTTTCATTTTAATGGGACTGACATTTATTCATATGATCATTGAAATTTATTTATAAATTTAGTTTCACTGATCAATTTTAAAATCTAATTGAAAGATAAAATATAAAATTAACAGTAATATTTTATTAATTACATTTTTATCAGAAAGATGTGCTAAAACAATATGAATTTTAGAACTGTAATGATATGATATTACAATTCATGTTGAATGTAATTTTTCAAATCATTTGAAGTATTAGAATATTCTATGGATACATTTTAATCATAAACTGATAATTTTGAATTTTATTTCCACTTTCAAAAGATTCTTTACATTTGAGTCATAAAACTTTAGGTAAGAAAAATGAGTATACATTTCTTTAAGAAGAAGGAAATGTATTATGAAAGAGATTGTTCATTGTTTTTTTTTTAAACATTTTATCTTTCAATTTTGTTAAAATATTAAATAAGTATGTATATATATTCATAAACAGTAGTTATTTTTTTAACAACATAATTAAGAATATTTTGTGAGAATCGGAAGCGTAAATCTTGAATTTATTCTAATAGAAAATAATAATAAGCTGTAAATACATAGACTGTGATAATCCGGATGAATATCTAGTTAAAATGAGGATTGCACGCCTAAAATATGAAATGCAACAGATGAATTTACTAAAATTACAACCAATGATTTTACAATTTAAAATTTTTCTATGTCAAAATTTGAAAATAAAAAAATCTAAATATTATTCAGAAACTTGTATATAAAAGTATCGATTTTTTGTTTTCAAACAAAAAATTTATATGGCCTATGTGTTGATAGAAAAATTTTTATGATTGTATTATTATTTTATGTTAGTAATTATCATAATGATTATTAGCATTAATTGATGCGATGTAGGTTTATAGTTCCAGTGATGAATGAAGCATAAATAGAAATAAATATAATAAGAAGATATTGTAAATAATTTATTTAATAAAGAGTGTTGCTTAATATAAACAGCGCTACTAATCTTATAATTCACACTGCAAAAGACTATATTTAGTTAATAAAAATCTAACATATTATATTTGTATACAATGAGGAACAGAGTTTATGATAGTCTGCATACTTGTATCAATCCTTTCTATTTTTTTTGATAGCTCTATTTGTGTTTTTGTCAATTCTTGGAAAATTTTAGGATTCAATTGTTTAGTAAACGATTTAATTCTAGAAGTTTGACAAGAATTTGACAATATTAAATTGTTAAATATATTATTATTGATAATATTATTTGTTTCAAGTGAGTAAATTTTATTTCCGTTCAAATATCGTACTGTTGAAATGTATTTAAATAACTCTTCATTATCAATGGCTATTGTACTCTTACTTTTGCACTCTTCAATAATATTAATCTGTCAATTAAATAAATCAATTATGTAGAATAAAAAAATTCATGAAATGTTAATTTTTCACAACTTAAACCTCACTGGTGACATTGTTAGATTACTTACCATCCATTTCAAGAAGATGTGATTATTTTTACTCCATTTTTCATATAAATCAATCAACAATGTAGTATTATTCAACTTTTCTATATACTGTAAATCTGCCTTACAATATTTTCGATTTATTTTGTAATAATTTTTCATTAAGATCAATTCTGACAAACTTAAATGAGAGAGATTGAAAATATTGGACGTTTCACAATGAATTTTCTTTAGCAAACGACACTTTTCGTTTATCAATTCAGTTATATCTTTTAAATTATAATTAATTTGCATCATTTTTCTTATAATCACATTAGATTCATTAATTTTGTCTGATGGTGATTGATTATTTTGTATCTTACTATCATTTTGTTCGTAGACTGGATGATTATTTTTACTAATAAGTTCATCATTAAAAGTTTGCTTAACAATTTTATCTTTGATTAATGAATCTATAACATTATGTCGAACAAGTAACCAAGAAAACGCTATTAACAATAACACTGAATTTTTATTATTGTTTGCTGACAAAGAAAAAAATTCAATATCAGAATACTTTAAATAGCCAAAATATAATTTTGTAGCAGTGACTTTATCTGAAATCAATAAAATTAAACAAATCATTGATAAAATAAGGTAAAGACTTATTTTAGTTTAATAAGTATTTGGAATTAATTATACCATAAATATTGAAATTAACAGTAGAATTTTTTTCTTGAACTGCATGTTGACTTAAAATATTCAAAATCGTCCAAAAATTTTCTACCTACCAGGAAAATTAAATGAAATATTTATAGTTTCTACAGTGAAAAGTAATTATAATTAATATAATTAAATAATTGATGATATAATTACAGTATCTAATGTTGCGTTACTAGATTTAAGTGAATTTAAATCATCAATTGTGATAATCACATTGGTGCATAGATGAATTTGCTTGCATAATAATATAAGTACTTTTTCAGTGTTATTCATTGTTATGACTATGTTTTGTAAAAATCAGTATTTACGGCAATAATGTTTTAAGTTTAATTTTACTTGCAATTAATTTTACAAAAATAATTAAATTCTTTATGGTATCCAAGAATACTGTCTTACCTAGGAATTTTAGTTAGTAATCTGACCACCAGATGTCTGCACTGTACAAATTTATAGTTTATACTTTTGCCACCAGGTGTCTGCAGTGTACAAAATTTTAGTTTGTATTTTGGTACACAGGTGGCTCTACTGTATATAAAGGGCAGCAGTTGATACAAGCGGCAGTAGTTGTCGACCAACCATCGACATGAGTACATCTTTGAGGTTAGATGGTATCCTTTGATTTTACATTATTTTGGTCATAATTTTGGCATCGTAAAAAAAACAAACTAATTTCCTTATATTTTCACGATAGGTCAAGTAGAGTACAATTTTTTAAACATTACCTAACTGCCATGATGCTTGTAAACCTACTTTGGACCGTTAGGTGTCTCTGAGACCGTTGAAATGCAGTGAACGTGTGGGTATGTATGTACTTTAATACCAGTGATATTTGATCGTTTAATAAATAGCAGAATCTCATTAATTTCGTGCACTAATCGCCTTTTGTTTATCTTGTTTCTATAATAATTAAAAAATCTGTTTGAATTTTATCCCGGTATTCTAGCCATAGCGTGTAGGCGCCAAGCGTTGCGGTGGTGCTCGCCGTGACGCGTGGCGCTGCGGCGCTTCGTTGTGATACCAGGCTTTTAGAATATTGAGAAGATGTTCAGTTAGATTACCTTTCCAACATTGCTCCTTTTCCAATCTGATATCAGCGTTAAGAAATTAAATGACCATAGTTAGCAATTAATTTTTCAACTTGTATGTTACCCAATTACTAAAAAAAATTTCAATCATATTTCTCACGGTCTACTATAATACTAAATTGTGAATTTATGTAATTACATCAGTTTTATCTAACAAGATTTGAAGTAATGAGAAATAAAAAAGGAAAGAATTAATCAATATAATATATAATTATATAAAAAATTTTAATATTATTTTTATACGTCAATTAACACAATAGTTCAATCTTGAGAATTTTATACCATTAATTGGGACTTTTTAAAAGTTAAATAATAATTTGAATTAAATTCTATGAATGATATAAATAATGTACAATATTTTGATAATCTTAGCTGATTAATTAATCGAGTATCAAAGTTGTTGTTACACCTTTAACGTAATTATTACTCAAATCTAAATTTAAAGCTTCCAATTATGTATTTTTTCATTAATTAATCCTCTTTATAAGTTTAAAAAAAATTAATTAATTTAAAAATTGTAAGATAGTATCGAATTTATTATTATTACTATAAGAAATTTTAGGATGTATAGCAGTGAATCACATGATTCAAGGATTCCCCTTCTATTTTATTCCCATCTTCTTCCCCTTCTTTCCTTTTTCATTCTTGATCTATCATTAAATATTATTTTTTAATCGCTTCTGATGTTTCTTTGTCATCGTTGATACTAACACTTGACTTAAAACGTTAGGTATAGGCCATTAGGTATGAAAGTAGAATCTTAGGAATTCACGGATTGCAGCACTGAATTCAGTTGCTATGTTGTTGGGAATAGGATAGTAGGATGATGAAACAACATATTCAAAAATGAAGAATTGCCGCGCAGAATTGTCCGGTTATATGAAATATTATTAGGGATCGATAATTGGTAAGAGTTACTATCTGATGTTTATGATTCATATTCTTCCTCAAAGCTTATGTTTTCCTAACTTGTTGTGATTAACTAAGGTTTAATCAGCTTTACAAGCTAAACTACTTTTGTCAACATGCACGTGCATGATAATCCGAGGCGATTTCATACTGGACCTATTCTAAATTATAAGCAACAATTTTTACGAAATCAGAAAATCACTATGAAGATATGCCATTATTATTGTTAGTGTTATTATATTCTGGTTATTATTGTTATCCGTCGAATGTGTCAGTGTGTTATGAGTTCCTACTTCTTTGATCGGACCCCAGTGAGGAAAGTAGACATTGTTTTCAAGAAATTTAAATGTATTTTTTTTTACGTCTCTTTTTATCTCTTATAGTGGCCGGATAACAAAATTCACTAAATGCTAGACGTCCTGCCCAAGTAAAAATGTTATTCGATAATCTTCGTTCAAGTCGAAATTAGACATCTCCAATCTATTTGATTGTTGTAATATTTTTCAATGAATTATTCCTTATTATTTATTATTTCTTCTCATATGAAATTTTTTAAAAAATATTTTCTTTTCATTTATATTCTAATAGCAGTAAATTTTCGGTTATTTTCTTAAGTTCAATAATAAATAAAAATAGTTTAAAAATTCCTACACTTGAAAAATATAAAGTGTTTAAAAGTGAAATACTAGTTCAATGTTTGTGGTACCTTCTGACTAGTCATTAAGGTATTTCACCATAATAACGCGTTCAGAGATTCAAGGGTATACCGGGATACCTTAAGCACGCACTGTAGATATTGGATGAATGAGATGCCCTAAGGGTAAGTCAAGGATTCTTCCAAGTGATTGGAGCCATTGGTGGCCGCCCTCAACTCATGGGAAATATCCTCCGGGGACTGATTTTAGAGGAATGCCAATGGTTTCGTGTCAAAATGTAAGACGGTATATCATCGGAAATCGCTACTGTAATTATAAATAAAGAAAAATTGCTTTGGGTTCCATCCGATTATTTCAATGTTCTATTTAAATCAGCACTATAGCCGTCATCGAAGAGCTAATATAGTCTAATTGATTGATTAATATAATTCTAAGCTATTTAAAAAATATATCAAGTTAACACATATCGAGTTACATAATAATTGATACATGATGTAAGTACAAGTAAAGAATTTTTTCATGAAAAATGATCAGGAACGTAAAGATGGATTCATGTGTAGCTGGTATGCGGGTGAGAAAGAGCCAAAAGGCATCAGTGTTGAACCCGCCTACGTTTAAAGCTAAAACCTAGCACTCTTGAAGCGACTCAGTCATAGCCGTAGGCATCAGCAGCATCTTTACCTTCGTTACTATCATTTTTTTTCCATTCTATCTCCACCTGCAAAATTTACAGACATGCAATATGAAATCAACCACCCCCGCGGGCACACGCCGACATCACGCAAGTTACAAGAAAATTTGAGAATTCACGTGGATATTTCAAGTAGAAAGATATAATAATAATTGTAAGATTTTTTTTAGATTGTTCTCAATATATTAAGTATTATAACACTTTTCATATATGTCTAAATGAAAATAAATGCATAGACTTGGAAGCATGTAGAAAACTGGAATCCGTTATAATGATAAGTGATGAGAGAGAAACGTTTATTCAATAATTACCGATAATCCGCTGTGTGTTCGTGTCTTGTATCAGAGCAAATGCTAGGTGAGAAGAGAGAGGAAAAAGGTTGCACGTTAGCTTCCCACGCTCTTTCAACGTTACAAGTTCATCCTATGCCTCCGGCAAACACTTTACTCTTGCTTCTGAATGACCAATATGATCACGAATGTCGAGTAACATTTAAGTAGTTTTGTAAACTGCTATCAGCTCTTTCTTCTTACTCTACAACTACTTCCTACCGTAATTTATAGTATACCCGGAACAAAAATTATCTCTTGATATCGTTATTGAATTGTCTTTAAACAAAATACACCCCATGTTTATATACATAATATTGTTTATGCACTTATACACTTTTTAGCCTGTATTTAACCTCATTAAAATAGTTGTTAAGAAGTAAATGTGGATGTCAAATAACTTTTAAAAATATCAATTATAATTTTGTTAAATAACACATTTTTAAAGGATAACTATCGTTATTAATTTATTTCATAGTGTAATCTTGTAGTCAATGCAGTCAAGTTTAGTGCAAATGAACAAAGCTAATTATGAACGAAAATATAATTAAATCGAATGAATTTAAATGAAGTGGGAAGGCACATAAGGCCGAGAAGAGGGGAAACCTTGAACAAATATCTTATCCTTAGTACATCAATGCCAAATGAGTTGAGTACTTCAAGTTATAATTCACAAGCTATAGTTGGGTAGTCACAATGAACTTGCCATTGTTATTAATTAGGCAGTTGGTTGGCTTACGCGCCAGGTGTAATGCTTCACCTGCAGCCCACACACACTCTAGTTTTATTTCACGTGAGCCATGAGTAACTCTTGGACTTGATAGGGGTCGACTGCGTGACATTTGACCCACATCCGGGCTCTCAGAAAATCACTAAACTATCAATTATCACTCACCGTTAATCTGAATGGCCTATATTATTTAATATATGTTTATCTGTTGAAAACACTTTGAATACTTGATATTGATATCACTTTTCTATTATTCAAGCTTTCATTAATATCATTTTTTTCTTTTCCAAACGATATTTCAGTAGTTTAATGAAATAAAAAGTAATCAGGAATGTGTATGCCGACGTGTTCAATGAACTTCCGGTTCCGGCGCGTGCGGTCAAGCTAAAATATAAAATAAAATAAGCTAGAAATGAACGGGAAAGAAAAAGAAAGACATACCAAAAAAGAAGTAAATAAAATAATGTACGAATTTGGACTTGCACCTGACGTGTTGGGGGACGGATTGATCCGCCTCTTGGATGTAGATCTTACTTTGATAGTGATGTTAATTCCTTGCGAATTGAGACAAAGCTTTAAATGCAATATCTCACACTTGCCGACAAATAACTTGGTTGCAAAAATAATAGCCAAAAGAACCCTCTATTGAAATGTTGAAATATTACTTCGGCACCACCTACATCTGATTAAACTATCAATTCTCCTAATTGTTACCATCCGAATTACCATTTATAGTAATAAGGGTTTCTGAATTTTGTATTTTTAAGTACACTTGAAATAATTGAATAAACTGTTGACATCTGGCGTGAAATGACAGACTTTAGGGAATTGTCGAAATTTCATTAGGGAGATGAAATACATTTGATTCGGTACACAGACGATAACAAGTATATGAAAACTAGCTGAGTTATCGGTTGAATATTGTCGTGTATTGAAGTTACCAAATGACAGAGTAATGTTCAATAAATGAACCACATGCTCACCTTATGTTCTATCTGACAAATGTTTCATTATTTTGGTGAATATTTTTTAGGGTGCTTCAACTTATCATTATAAATTTATAAAATTCAATCATTTTGCCAGTATATGCATATCAATATCTCACACATTATCAAAATAAAATTTATAAAAAGAACAAGCATTTTTATTTTTTACTTTATCATTGGAAAATTATAATAATCTAGTTTTAATAACAACAAGTTATTGATTAGTATTAATTCTTTTTATTATTAAAAATTAATACATATATAACAACACATAGCAGTTAAAATTCACACCTAAAAATGTAAAATATAAAAATACAAGACATGAAACTAAATCAAATAGCCTAAGGTAATCACCTGCTGCAAAATAAATTTTATTTCATCCCACGCATGTTGCCCCCGGGTTAGATAAAATGA